CCCTCGTATATATACTGTTCTGTACATTCTAAAAGTGACATTGTGTTGAATTTTATTGTGCATTCAGGATATTACTCAGGGTTTCCCCCCAACTTTTCCAATTTTATCAAAGGATTGGAGCCTGGAGCAGCCAAAAATTTTGCATGCTCCGGGCTCCAAGGATCTGGGCCCCAGCTCTGTTCCAAGTCCCTGTTTTCATTGTTGACTTTTTGGGGCTTCAAAATGAAAAGAAAGCGTGGATCTTACCATTTTCAGCTGCGTAGAACTTGAAAATTTTCCTAGCTAATCTCAATTATCTACAGAAACGATCTACTGTTTATATATACTTTTCTGTATATTCTAAAAATGACATTGTGTTGAATTTTATTGTGCATTCAGGATGACCTCGATGAAATGTCTTGTTGTAGATTTTGTGATTTGGTTCACTTGGAGTGGAATTCTACTGGGGTAACGCAAGTTGGTCGCATGGTTTCGAAAAAAAAACGTGTTAAATAAAACTGGCCCCCGGTATTGGATGTGCGAGAAAGAGCGGATTTAGTTTGTAAAAAAAGTCTTCTTTATAACTTCCGCAATAAATCGTGATTCCATCGCCACTTGGTTCAAGTAGATTTTAATTTATCGACGGGATCGATGAAGTAAAAAAAGGCGATGCTTGCTATTCGGCTCTGACGTATTCATCATCAGCCCAAGGTTGACTTCGTGACGTAAATCTAATTTTATGGAGCTGTGGCATTTTGTTTTTCTTTCTAGAGTTGGAACCTTCTTGAAATAAAGGTACTGTAATTGTATTTATCTTGATGGACTCATAGGCTTAACATTTTTCAAAACCTTCGATTCTTTCATTTCTAACTGAAAACCTTTAATTGGTTTGCGAAATATGCCGTATTGATATGAAACAAAACCCTCGCATGCGGGGAAACGAAGGTTTTTTTTCAAGCTTGAAAATCATAAGAATTTTAGATCTCGGGACGGACGGGTTTTCGTTGCACAGCAATTTTCGCTTGAATGGGACAAATTTGATGCCTGCTAATATTTATTTCAGTTCTTTTGTGTGTTTGCTCAATGCTGCACAGATTGCCTCGCGAATTCGGAACCTTGGACGGGGGGGGGGGGTTTCTCTATTTGTTCTACAATCTACCCCACAGAAACTCTAACCTGTTAGCACAGTGGTTGCCCAACCAGTTGCACAACTTACTTGGTCAGCGAAGACCCCGTTAAATTCATCGGATGACAGCGAGTGCAGATGTTTATTTATCTTTTTTTTGTGGCTCAAATTGATACAACCCAACCTTTCTAAGTCGAATTCCAAAGGACCAGCAAAAAAAAATTTTTGACTTGGGAAAGTTTTGAGTTATATGCGTTTTGAGTTTTGGAACCAAGCATTTTTGTTGTGGGAAAAATTGAAGAATGGTATTAAATTGTAAATGGTGATATTCTGGGACTTTATATTGCATTTAAAGCTAAGAAGGCATGATGCAAAGACGGCCGATTTTGTGCCTATTTTTTCTATTACTCTATTTCCTTTTTTCTTTGTTTCCATCATCTAAGGACAGTATGGGAAGCGCTTCTTTTACTGTTTTTTGGCCTCATTTTCGTACCGAAAGATAAGATCATGCGTATTTTCATTCTGCAGTGTTATTTCTGTATTTCGATGTTGAGAAAAATTATATGATTCCATTTTTTGGGGAAATTTTTCCAAATGTTTGAACAAGAGAACAAATTGAATATACTGTATTCCCATTGAAGTCTATGAGGACATGCGGACGTTCCAACACAGGGACAAGATCCATAGAATTGTTATTTTCTATTATAAATTATTTTTTAGCATCAGTCATGTCCGCATCTCGGGGCCCCCAATGTTATTCCCTGTCCAGTGCATCCCCCTTACTTCAGAACTTGACTTATTATGAAGCAAAACCGTAATTTGAGAAAAAAATTCTTGATTCGCGGAAAAAAATACTTCATATTTTAAGTATTTAACAGAATTCACACCTCGCCTCGGCGGAAAGCAGCGTTGGTTCGTACCAGTTACGAAGCGATTTCCAAGTTCGTCGGATATCCGCTTCGTGACATTAAAACGCGCAGTCGTCGAGCCGCCTGTCGCAGTATTTTTTTCTTCTAAATTTTGTTTTTGTGGACTGATGAGTCATTTCCTTTTTTTGTCACAACACTCGCAAGTGGGAACTGGCAGTGATGTGCACACGCACACTCACGTACTTGCGGCATTAATGCCGTCTGATTTTGGTTGTGAGTCAGTGACAGCTGCTTGAGCGTGTTGTTACGTGTGCGGGAAACGATTTTTGCTGAATGTGCGAACGTTTCGGGGTTTCTCAGAAAAATAAGGGACTGGATTATTCATAATGCAGTAATTCGTGCTCCAATTTATGCCCCATTATTTTATGTGTGTATGTTCTTGATACTGTATACGTTCACGTGAAACCAATATTACGCAGTTGGCAGGTGTACGGTATTATTTTTATTTTGAAAGTCGATAAATGAGCGTCTTTCCCGGAGATGAGGTCTTCTGTGGTTCTGTTATGTTTTCTCATGTCTTTCAAATTCGCTTTTCGTGCTACGTAATTTGGAAGTCAGATGCGGAATCCCCGCTTTGTCTGAATTTTTGGCAAATATTTTCAAATTATGGAGATTTTCCCATCGTTTGCAACCACAGTAATTTAAAAAAATCTTGAATGAGAATTACAGTGTGTAAAAGAACGTTTTTGATTAAATTGTGGAAAGAGCTCGTGAGCCAAATTTTTTTGCGGGAAAATTATATTGACTCATTAAAAGCATGTCTTTGTGTCGAACTTGGAAGTGCGGTTTTCGTGCGATATGACTCAGAAATTACTAAATTATTTTATTGAAAGATATCACTGACTGGGAACATATTGCGGGACAAAAAGATAACTGCAAGGATCCCCCGGGGACTCGTTATCCCTCGTGCTGACACACTCATCGGGGAATCGTACGAGGTGTCGCGAAAGTTGATGAAATTTCCTTTTTTTCTGGCTGTGTGAAATTAGCGATATACTTCATTTTCTTATTCTGAATCAATTGCGATTTTAGGCACTTGGTGCTCGAAGCATTGGGTGTACGTGTCAACAAATTGAGTTTAGGCGAGAATATCGTTCACTGCGCAGTGAAATTTTTGGACACCCTGTTGATTTTTTCGGGGGAAGGTGTGGAATGTGCGAAGCGTTGCTGCGTTATTACAGCCTGTGCTTGTTATTTTTGCGGCGCAAAGCGACGATTGATATCATTTCACGACTGACGCTCATACTGAAACTTTCGTGTTTTATTCGTCAAAATAAAATCCAGAGGGAAAAAAAAGTTTGGTGTTGAAGAGAAAAAAAAACAGAAACTTGCGAGGAAAAAAGCTTGAGAGTGCGTATATCTGGGAAGATGACGAGCTGCGAGTCTGGTGTACCCGATCAGAAAAGTGAGTAGAATTCATGTGGAGATTCCTTTACACGCTTTATCGCAGGAAATTAAATATTCCAGGAATAAATTAGGAAAAAAATAAAAAAAAATTATGGGAGATATTCGAAGGAGAACTGTTGTTGAACTGGATGGATTGGACGGATGTTTGCTCGGCATCGTTCTAGAAATTCCGCTTTCTTGTCATGGCTACACTTTTCTAGCGCGTGAAAAGCATCGGCATGCCAATTGGGTCGCGATTTCCTCGTTTTATACGATACGTGGAGCTATGTTCTTCAATTTTCAGGATAGAGGAAGAAGAGTGGACGAAAATGTATGCTGAAAACTTCCACAAATCGTGGTATTTTTTTTTTCAGAATAGGAATCTGGCATCACTGTATTTTAAAATGTGGGATTAAAATTGTGCTTCGTCTCCCTGTGTTACTACATTTGTAATCTTTCGCACCTATTACAAATTGATGCATAAAATTTTCATTAATAGCAAGGAAAAGAAGCAACGTATTCTCTTAGCAAAGGAAGACCACTCATTTATTTATTTTTTTCGTGAAGGAGAAAAGTTCTCTTGAACCCCCGTCATATGTGCTTGTGTATGGCGAGCGTCCAATTTTTTCTTGCCGGATTTCCGGGAAAAATGTTTGTGGCACTTGAGTAAATATAGTACAGTATTCTAGCATAAAAAGGCCATTTTTTATTTTCCTTACTTTTCTGGATAAATTTCGTTACCGACTTCTCCTCGGAGAATTTTCAAAATTTTTTCGATCATTTTAAAACTTGGACTTGATGAACTCCGTTGTCCTCGCAAGCTTACAATAGTTCATTTGAGAAGGAGTACTTTGATTTCTTGTACAATCAGACCTCTCTACGTTGAAATTGATGGGACCAACAAAAAATTCGACTTTGACTCAGAAAGGTTTTTAGTTGGGGAGACTACGTCTGAAAAAGCTTGCTGTAAAATTTAAATGAAGTAATTAAGCTGATTTTTTGCTGCGACTGGTTACAATATTGTGTTGAAAATCATTTTCCTTAATTGTTCCCTATGAATAAAAAGGCTAACCACGAGGAACTGCAGTATAATTGAGTCTACAGGATGCAGAACCTCAAGCCAGGTTTTTATGGACCAATCTAAGTTGCTCATTTTCTTCCTGAACTCCATACTTTTTGAATTTATTGTCCTCGTTTGTCTTAGATTACTAGTTAGGGAAGTTTAGGTTACGTCATTTTGAAGGGACTTCGGACGGACTGAAACTAATGGGAGACATGGGGTTTTAAAGCATTGTAACTGTGAATACAGCAGAAAGATTTTGTGTAATGAACTGTAGGGCCTGGAATAATTTTCGAGGGAGGCTGTAGGGGGGGAAAGAAAGAAGTAGTGAAGAGGACAGATGACCGGGGCAACCAGCGAAATGATGGTTGGGAACCTCGACTTGCGAACCTTGTAGTGAGTGCTGGTCCGCAACTGGTACGGTAGCGAGTACAGTACAGTGAGCATCAGGACGAGGCTCCCCCCCCTGAAGAGCTTCGCCCCGCCCACTCGCGACCGCGTGACCGAAGCTAGGAGGCTTGCCGGCGAGAGACGGGGGAGAATGAGCGAGCGAGCTCTGGAAAGTTCTTCCGCCTCGCCTCCCTCTCGGTCTTCTCCCTCGTCAATATCGATACTCTGTCCGAATCCTAGTTGCATGGTCTCATTCGTGTTCCAGCCGTTGAGCGCTGAGCTTCTGCGGGGGCTTTTTCCGCCTAGTGTGTGTGAGAGTTACTTAGCTCCTGTGGCAGTCCTTTTTTATTACTCGTGTGTTCCGTCGCATTCGCGTTCGTGCGTGTTTTCGAGAATGGTGCAATCCGCTGCAGGCATGGAGGTTCCTTTCTACGAGCAGTTGTTTGCGGAACTCATCGTACTTGAACGAGGTGCTGATCTTATTTGACCAGATTTTCATTTTGTACCTATGAGTCACAACTGAGCATGATGCTGAACGCGCTACCCGTTGCATCATGCAAATGATGCTCGGCTTTTCAGCTCACGCTTGGTGGTGATACATGGGGGTTCACCTTTGAGTCGAGGATTTTTTACATACCCACGTTGCTATTATCCTGCATTGCTATTTTGGGTACCATATCGAGCTTGAATCATTCGCCGGGTTCCGGCAGCTTCACTCTGTCTGTGAACTAAATTCTGTATTGATGAAGTTGGGAATCTTTCGAAACAGGCTAGCATTTAAGCCAGCACGGGAAAGCTTGTACAGTACTTTCAACTCGGCATTCTCTCAATTTTTACTTGCAGAAGAAATTGGAGATGGAAAAGACGACGATCATTCGAACTATTCCGGGTTCGGAGCTGGCGGCGATGCTTCTGAAATCGCCCGCAGGAAGGTTCGGCGCCGGAAGAAGCGGCTTGGCTCGTCTCTGTCCATCGCGACGTTCAAGGACTCGTACCGACTAACTGGAGAACTACTTGGGGAAGGCGCCTACGCTTCTGTTCAGACTTGCGTTAACCGCGCGAACGGAGCAGAGTTCGCCGTCAAGGTACGATATATGTGTATTCTGGTAGTCTATTATTCTACACCACTTCCGTGTTTAGTGTCCAGGCAAGACGAGGAAGTGTCTTAGCTTGCTCTGCCTCGGGTTGTTCTAGCTGCGCTAGATTCTGACGAATGGGTTCTTTATTGGCGCGAAAGTGCGCGCATATGCGTTTCAGTAGGAAGTTAAACGGATGCCGGAATAACGCTCGAGTAGGTGTCGCCCCAAGTTCAGATTTAATTACCTTGTAACCTCAATTTTCCGGACGTAAGCAGGTCGCTTCTGCCCAGGTAATCTGTTTTTGAAACTCGGGTGAGTGACCCAAATTTTCGCTAGTCAATCTTGCTGGAAAATTTTAGCGTCACGGAGCAATGCATGTTGCTCGTGTTACTTCGTCATTCGTTTACCGAGGTTGAATTGACAATGTTGAAGTGACTTTATGTGGAGTGGATCGTAAGAAATCGTTGTAAGATGTAGGGATTCTAGGCGAAAAGGTCGTTCAGACTTAGGATTGTCTCTGATTTTTGCCTAGTTGGTTTGTTTTTAGACTTTCCTCCGCAGCCCTTGAAGTACGGTAGTCTAATGTCGAATGCGAAGTTCCATGCCTAATCATCTTGATACTCGAAGATAACCCTCGAGCTTATGATGATTGCGTAGTGCCTTAAAATCGGACTTGAATTCATTTTTCCCGTGTAGTTTGGTACACAAGCGGTGAAATTACTGGTGTTCTTGAATTTGCGCAGATCATCGAGAAGGGTGCGGGCCACAGTCGATCGAGAGTGTTCAAAGAGATCGAGATCTTCCACCACTGCAAGGGACATCACAACATCATCCAGTTGATCGAGTACTTTGAGGAGGATGACCGATTCTACCTCGTGTTCGAGAAGATTCGTGGCGGGCCGTTGCTCATGCATATCCAGCGGCGGGTCCACTTCACGGAGCATGAAGCGTCGCTCATCATCCGTGACTTGGCCAACGCACTGGCATTCTTGCATGAAAAGGTGCGTTTCTTTCTTTTTTTTCGGACACACTGACTTACTTTTTCGCCACGAATGTGCCGTGGGAAAAAATACAGTTGCGGAGTAATAATGGTCAATTGTTTCTGCGAATTTCCAGGGAATCGCGCACCGGGACTTGAAACCGGAGAACATCTTGTGTGCTGATCCCGAAAAGTTGCTTCCCGTCAAAATCTGCGATTTCGACCTCGGATCGGGCATAAAGCTCAACTCTAATCTCACTTCTTTTATTTCTACCCCGGAACTCCTGACTCCGGTAAGTTTCAATTCGCTGATTTCTCCAACCGCCCCCCCCCCCAGCAGAAAAATTGTTGAACTAATTTCTAGACCGTGATCAATTCTTTTCGGATATTGACGAGAATGTGAGCACTTTTTTTAAATTGTGAAAGCTCGAAAACTCGGGTGCTTGTATTCGCATATTTCTGATTTCGTGTAAGTATAAGCATACCTTTTTTCGATTTCTAAGTCACAGGAGAAATAAAAACAAATGGAAGCCCTTTTTATTTGAAAATATCAAACCGTCACCATTCATTATTCAAGTAACGAGACATCGCATTGAAATTCGCAGACGAGTAATGCGATGCGTGTAACAGAATGGCCTTCGTTCACTTGTTCTTGACGACGTTAATCCTTATCTGGGCTAAATTCGTCCCACAATTTTAGGCTCCCAAGAACTCAGAATTCCAGGAAGTTGTGCTTAAATTAGCCTGTTGATTCAATTTTTAGTGTGAGCATGGAATATTTAGAGGGGATGCTTTTGGAAATAAATACTGTTCAACTTGAATGCCATCTGCAGTGTGTAGTAGTAAACTTTGGACCGATTCTTTTTCATTTCTATTTTTATTTATCGCATTGAGAGTCATCCTGTTCAAGAAGCTGGGTTGTGTGATTTAGCAAAATAGTTTCAATTGAAAAACTTTAATTGCACAGTAGATGTGATGAATTGAAAATCGTGCCCTGAAGAAATGTCTGATCTGCTTTACATTCTCCGCCAAAAATACTGAATTTATTTTAAATCTTGTGGGAGTGAGTAGAGTATTGTGCAGTACTGTACTTCACAAATTACTGTATCTTGGATCCGTTTTAGAGCCACTCGTGAATTTGCTGATGTTTGTTTGTTTGTTTTTAAAGGTCGGGAGCGCAGAATACATGGCCCCCGAGGTGGTGGAAGCGTTCAACGGCCGAGATGCGAATGTTTACGACAAGCGGTGTGACCTGTGGTCGCTGGGCGTGATCGCGTACATCTTGCTGTGTGGCTACCCTCCGTTTTACGGCAATTGTGGCACGGATTGTGGCTGGGAGCGCGGCGAGGCGTGTTACGCATGCCAGGAGATGTTGTTTGAGTCTATTCAAGACGGCTGCTACGACTTTCCCGAGTCTGAGTGGGCGGACATCTCCGAGGATGCTCGCAACCTTATCGGGCACTTGCTTGTCAAGGATGCTCAGCAGCGGTTCTCTGCGGCCGAGGTACTCAACCATCCCTGGGTGGTTGACGGTGGCGCCAAGACGCTGCTGGACACTCCGAGGATCATGCGCAGGTTAGTTTTTTTGCTTGACTAGCCGACCGAGTTTATTATTATCGTGATTTGCAGTACTGTACTGTGTACAGTACTTCGAAAGTCAAGATCGAGTCTCGCGGAATCCCGTTGAAAATTTCAACACTTACTTTCGCGCCCTTTTCCCGTTATACTGCCGTGGAATAACGAAGGATGCGAAATCGCGATTAATGTCGGAAATGTTAAATTTCGTTCTACTGTATCGTTGAGATTTGATGGAAATTGTTCGAGAGAAACGAAAGTAACGTTTATTTTGCGAATGCAGCCGATGTTGCTCTTGTTGAAATAATTTTCTGCGTGAGTCGAATTATGTAATGGAGGCCCTTGGGCATGATCCTATGTCATCTAAGAGAAAATTTTGGTCAATGAAAATGATGAGCTTCTTTAAATGGCCTTTGAATACGAATGCTAATTGTATAAATCTTGTCACCTTGTACTCGGTGCAACTTCGTACAGTATTATAAGAGTACAATCTACAACGAAATTCGAGGGACAAAAGAAAAAAACGCTGTGAAGATGATTTTGTTGTAGGGAACCCCTGAATCGTGTTGGAACAAGGAAAAATTCGTTTTACAGAAAAAATGCGTTGTAGACAAGATGTTCGTGGAAAGTGTCCACCTGTACTACAGCACTTCTTTGCGCATCCATGGGGCACATATGCACATCGTAAAACGCCCTTGGGGCTCGCTTAGATTTAAAACCTCTTGTAGATTATTGTTCAATTTACCCCAGAAAACGTTCCTTCATTTTGATCGGAAATGATCCGGACTCGAATGTTACGTTGAGCGTGAAAAAGTTTTTCAAAAATTTTTTTTTTTCGTTCCACAGAAACAACAGCGCGAAGGAATTGTCAGCGTTCGCCGAGAGTGCCATGCACATGAACAGAGTGATCTGGCAGCACATGAGCGTGAACATGTGCTTCGATCGAATGGCGAGTGTGCAAGAAATAGCGGAGGACCCGCTGGCCGAAGATGCCGAGACGTCGCCTCCACGCCAAGGCGTCATCATCAACGTGATCGACAACCAAAACCGGTACCGGACGTACTCGTGCTCCAGTGGCACTTCCTTGACGCCATCGCCGCCGAGTCCGTCTGCGATGCCCTTTGGGCTTTCTCCGCCCGGGGACTCGAACCTTGCCAAGAGGCGGTTGGGCAAGGCCAGGAGTTTGACGAAAGAAGCCGTCTTGGGCTGAATGAGGGAAGAAGAGAGAGGAAAGCAATTGTTGCTAAGATTTTTTTTTTCATGTCCACGTGAGAAAAAAGGGGGTGTGGTGTGGGTGTTGATTCTGATATCCAGCATTTTGTTCTTTTCTCCTCTGGGTTCGATTTTTTTGATTAATTCATCGCGGTGGCTGGTGGGCAATGCAGGGGAGGACTTAACAGCATAATTTCTCGCAAGTACAGTTGTGTACTGTAATTTTTCTGAAGAAGGAACGTTTAGGCCTCTCGAGGAAATAATCATTGAGGCTCTTGTGTTTTCAGGATAGGGAAGAGAAATGTAATTCAAAAATTGAAGGATAGGTGAGAATGTTATGCCTATAATGGCTCTTAAATTTGACAGGCCTCAAGCTCTCTTCGTGGTTCCATGTTCATTACGGTCATTTTTAAATTGAAGAAAAAAAGCAAAAACTCGTTGTCCGATATACTCAGGAAAGTGCATTCGCTCACAATTTAGGATTTAACTTAATGTACGCTAAAACTTCTTGGAATTGAGGGGAGATTTTGGTAGACTCGATGGAGAAATTTGGAGGTATTGTTTGTAACGGACGGAATTGTTGAGTAAAAGGAAGTTCTATCTTGAGTGCGTGAGACGTGAATCAGCTTAGGTAATCGTTCCCATCTGCGCGATTCGCTTCTGAGCGTTTTGTCAAATCGTGTTTCGGGCGTGGTTGTTGTGGGATGGGCAACAATTTGTGCCTGTTGGTTCCTGTTTAGCGTTCTTGGGAAGAAGTTTTAGGGAGGGAGAGAGCGGGGCTCTGGTTCTGCGCGCGGAGGTACAACATTAACTAGAGCATTGTGCCCTGGTTCTCTGCAAGTGATGTTCTTTTTTTTTGGATGAATTTACGGGATAAGTGAACGCCTTGAGGGAGCTGAGGGGGTGGGAGTAAGATTGTGATGGGTAAGAGAAAAGGGGGGGAAGGTTTGTTGAGGAAAAAAGCTTTTTTTTCTACATGTGAGGAAGTGGAGTGTCCGCTGATGAGAGTCTTGAAAGCTTTTTTCCAAAATTCTTCGCCCTTGCTTGGTTAGGAAGAAACTTCTTTGTCTTGATGCTTAAGCTGTGATTTTTTAATGATTCTTCACACCCCTTAGGTTTTGATGTTTTTTTCGTGGTCAGCAATGCCTAAGCGTTAGTGTCCCACGCTGATTTTGATACCTGAGGATTAAAGGGAGACAAAAGTGCTGGAATTTTTTTTTACTATTTTCTTAATTCGTGGCCAAATGTGTGTGCGTGTGTGTGTGTGCGTTTGGGGGAAAACTTGTCTTCCTTCGTTATTTTTTTCGAACTTGCTTGTGTTCCTTGTGCTGAGTTTGGTTCTTGTGCCCTGGCTGCTTGGCTTCTGTCAGTCATCCCTTAATGTCCTGATCTTTGTTGTGTCACAGTTGAATCCCACACATACATCAGAGGAAAACATTTTGTCTAGGGCTCTTGACTGGAAACATCTCAAGTGCGTTTAGAAATATGGGAGCCGGTTTTTTGAAAGAAAAAGCTCTTGAAATATGATGAACACAGAATGACTTACAATTGCGGAGTAATGACTGATGGATTGGGGTGTGACAGCTGTTTGACATGTCTTCCCTAGCAGTCGGGAGAGTGAGAGGATGTAAGTCTTAAGTTAATGATTTTATGGTCAGTTTGGTAACTTCTTGAGTTTGGTCAAGATTATTCAAGGATCTCTCCTTGAGTTTCTGCGTCTTGGGTGTTGCTTTTGAGGTGAATTTTTTTTTTTTGCCTGAGAGGAAAAAAAATCTGTGTTCAAAACAAAATGTGAAAAAAAAATTCAAAATGTGAAAAATTGGTACGAAAACATTGTCTCTCTCTTCTTGCGTTGCACATCGTGGCGATTTCCCCTCTGGGTCATTCCTGAAGGAGAGAGGATGACGGCTAGGTGCTGCTTTTTATTTTGCCTTAATTGTGTGAGGGGGGAGAAGAGTTGGGGTTTTGCTCCCGTTTTGTGGAGAGGGGGGGGGGGACGCGATCGTTGAGTGAGGGGTTGAGCCAAGGAGAGTGGGTCAGAAGCAGAATGAGATCTTTTTTTATTTTGGTTCTGCTGCTGGGAAGTGTGGCGATTTCTTTCTGTGAAGAAGAAATGAAGACATCCATGGGCGCAGAAAGGATGAAAGTTTGGTCTTCCATTTATTTTGCGTAACCCGGGTCAGTGATTTTGTGCCATTTCTTCATAGTTGATACCAGATACGCAGGAATTGGTTCGAAAAGGGGGAAAGCTAGGGAATACATCCTGCAACATCAGAATTGGAGGTACGAAAAGTGCTTGAGACAATCTTATGCAGATCGACTTTTACTGGGCATCGTAGTGTCACATCATGTCACAAGTAGTTTGAACAATCACAAATTCGGCAGAGAATAACTTATTCAAGGATCTTCGGGGGTGAGTCAGATTTCCCCATTTTCCCTCCAATCCTTCATCCGAAATACCCTTGCACCCTCTTTTTCTTCTGGCCAAAAGTGTGGTAACCCGTGCCCAAGAGTCTACCTATCATTCCAGAGAAGTGCCCGTAGGTTGAGTGGCCAGGATGTCCGTAGCGTTGATGAGCGCGATGCGTCGCGTGGATACCGTTAATGGTTGGCTCTGGCACAGGTTTTCCTGAAACCCCCGGGGTGTGCATTAGCAGCAGGATTGCTGCTGCGAGCAGGATAAGTGTTCCTAACCTGTGGAGTGAAACGCGGAGAAGGATTCCATTAGTGCAAATTCGACGAACATTAGCAGCAAATGCCCGTGCGAGGCTCTTCTTCGGTTATTTTCGAACAGCGTAGTTTCAGCTACCGGGTGCCTTGACTGATTACAATACTGTACTTCATATTATGTTCAAAGTTGCATTCCATGAGAAGGTTCCTCGGGTTAAGGAACATAACATAACATGAGGAACCAGGGCTTAACAGATTTTTGCATGGTAAAGTATCTTATTAGCGAACACTGCAGTTTCCCTATAACCACTTCTTTAATTTCCTAAGTCGAGAAGATAAATTATGAAGTAAATTTAAGTATTTTGGCGGCTGGGGTTCAGGAGTTCGTACTCCCAATGCAATTCTTCTTCTACCTTTCATTGACAACAGTATTTTATTATCTTCCACTTAATAACTGTGAACAGATATTGGGCTGTGTAAATTCGGTTTAACACTTGGCCCATGTGTTCGGAAAGTTCAGCTCGTAAATAACTCAGTTCAAAATTAAACCACTGACATACTTCATGCACCTCTAAAACTCGCCACAAGATATAATTAATAATCCATTTTAATTACTTGATGAATTTTACTCTTCGACGGATGATCAAGAAGAGATGCGGACAGTTCTCCGAAATACTGTACAAGGCGTTGGTTGGACATGGCAATCAGTTGAAGTAGGTGGGCTGCAATTCTAGCTGCCAATCACTGGGAAGCTTTTTACCGTCAAGTACTTCAGGCTGGTGAGATACTGTATGTAATTGATGGTGAAGGCTATTACTGTATACATAAGCGTTGTGAGTAATGAGTCGTTACATGATCCGAGAAATTTGTAGAAATTTTTGGCCTTTTTGAATAATAATACGGTATTCATACGCGTCTCTCGTAAAAAAAATTCATATTTTCCTCTAATGTAAACTCGAGATTCAAATGGAAATTACAAACTTCCCACAGGAAAAGGTGATCGAATCAGTGTGGTAATTTTCCACATGATGACGAATTCTTCTCGGTGGAGTGGGGGAAGGCATTTTTACCGTTAAAAAAGTTTCCATTTCAGAAGGGTTTCGCGTGATTGAACACGTGGTCGTCATATAACAAGATACACTGATCAAATAAGTACGGAGAGTTTTTTGGCAAAATTTGGCCCAAATCACGCCACTATCGATTTTCAGCAGTACCTCGCACCCCCGCTTTAGCCGTAGAACCGATTCGTCAATATTATGGCTTATGTTCCATAGATTTATTACTGCATTGCCAAAGGTCCTCCCATAAATCAATAATTATGTAATAAAGAGACGGGACATATTGGACGAATTCGCCAAATGCATCGTACTATTTAGCAGCAAGCGCGTGATGTGCTTCACTGACGCAGGAAAACACTTCATCTATCAATCCCATAAAATTGACTTACTTCCCAGGCTGTTAGCGATAATCACACATTTTATTTTACACCAAGATAGTGTATTTGAACTACAGTACATATAATTGCTCTTCTGCGCACACACCCTTCAGCAGCCTAATAATTTCAATAAAAATGGGATACTTCTGAAGTTATGATCAAGGTAATTAACCTTACAAGGACCCAAACCAAATCGCTTCATAATCTGCCATTGAAGAAATGTTCTCAACCAGTGTTCAAGACGGTTTTGGTGCTCTCTGACTTATTCTTGAAAGTAAAACGCACAACTTAGTTCTCAGTTCCCAAAAACTCGTACGGTATTTTGAAAACTGCATCAGTTCGAACCCAAACACAAGCTCGTTTGAAAAGTTGCCTCGCTGCTGAGATTGTTTCTTATCCGAAACAAATGGTCATTTAAAAATGAATTTCGAAAATTTTTCGAGTGGGGGAAAAATTTCAAAGTTTACAAAAATTTACTAGAAAATTTGTACCAGACCATGACGCGCACCTCGTGTTGCCGCTATTACTATTTTTTTTTTTTTGTAGAAAATTTGCGCGTGGTACTCGAGCAAATACGCATTTCTGGGAATATGCTGTTTTTAGACTCGTCACAATAAAATAATAAACAGAAGACCGCCGCGTACCTTAGCATTTGGACACCACCAGAAACCTCCTCACAAGTTAAACTATCACTATTGGTCAGCTTACTAGAAGTTGCTGTTGCGTGTTATGTTTTCGAGACACTACAGTCTTCAAGCGTCGTGTAGATGAGGTGAACGTGGGAGACCTGTTAGTAAAATATGTGACCTTGCACCAAGTTGTAATGAATTCTTGAATTATGCATCGAGGGAAAAGAGAAACCGAATCTGCGACTTAATTTTCCAAGTTTCCCGGAAGGAAAAAAGGTCGTATATAGGTTGAGGGAAACCGGGTTGTTTTGAAAATCAGAGGTTGCCAACCATTTTGACTCCCTGAGCGATGTTTCAATACCGATGAGGAGCATAGGGTAACATTTTTTTTTTCAACCTTCATTTCGAGTTACGGACTAAGCACGTATTGTAGTTATTTTTTTTAGCTCACAGTACTTCTGTTTCTGAACATTGATCAATACATTTTGTAAAAACAAAAATGTTGTTTTTAAAAATACACTGATAATCTATTTTAATATACAGTACTGATTAATATACACTATCAAGCAAAAACGTCTCCCCAGGGTGCGGGGAACTGGGAAAAAAAGGCTGAATTCTTCCGCGACCAAGATGGTAATCCAGAATAATTTTTTCATTTATCATGTCAAAAATTCAGGAAATCTAAAAAATCGGTCATCAGATGAACGAAGAACTAATTCAAAACTCTGACATGTCTGCGTAGGCGCAAGGCGCGTGTAACTAGGACAAAATTTTCGAAGTTTAGTAATTTCTCATGCGGATGGGGGTTACACTAATCCTAACTAGATAATCAAAAATGGACAAGATTTGAAGAACACTTGCATAGATAAAATGAACTCAGTTGTAATCCAGTATCTTTAAATTGAAACGCCAAATAATTCTGGAGGCACCTCAGCTTCTTCATCAGTCCACCGTAATATTTAGTGTTCTCGTTATTCAATTTGATGCTACAGTATTTTTCCGCAGCGGCCGCGGAGCCCCTGGGAACTTCAGTCATAGGGCTCCACGGCGGACCGTTTGGGGACCTTTGAATCAAGGCTGTTTCCAGAATTTTCCCGACTGCCCCGTTGCGTGGTATAAGGAAAATCGCGGACTCAAGGTTCATGCATATTATGAATCCCTTAATCCGCTAGTGCTCCTTCATATATTTGGGGACCTTATCATTTTTTTTTCAAGATCTTTACACGGGGTTGCAAAAGGCATAAAAATAGCGAAGGAAACTCTATTGGCTACAGATAGCGTCATTATTTGACTTGAACCACCGGGAATAATTTTGAACGAGTTATTAGATGCGTACCACAATACAGTAATAGGAAACTTTTTTCAATCGAACCCCTTTGGAATGTCACGAAAAAATACGGCTGGGATTAGAAAAAAAATTCTTGGACTGATAAAAAAGGAAACTTTAAAAAGGTTAAATTTAAAAATTTGAGATATTTGTCATCAAAATGCGAGAATTATTTAGCTACCTTGAGAATAAATTAACATTCTCCCAAAATCGGCTTCAAAAGAAATAATTTTGCAACGAATGCATACAGTATTTTTATTTTCAATTCACTTTCCTTCTCTTTAGAGTTTACGCAGTTCTGCGATAAGCAATAATGTATTAAAGAGGTGTATACTGACCTTTCACTCGCTTGTATTCCGTAAGCTCTCGCCAATTTCCTCGTGCCTTTTTGACTAAGCCTCAAGATTTTTGCTCAGTCACGCATGAGTTACAAACTCGGGTAAGACGGAAATTCATCTCATCCGGCTTCCGGCCAATGGACTCGTCATGCTTCCTGTACTGAGAATGAAAAATGTCGGGACAAAAACCTTCAAGTCCCGGATCCGCATTCATATCGACTCCAAATGTAAGCATAGATGCTATCACTAAATCGCGAATGCATTTTTTAATTTTTAAGATTTTATTATCGGTCGCGTACTAGGGCATTCATTCAAATTCAGGACGCATGTTACCTTTAAAATAATTGGAACAATTTTGACAGCAAATATAAGACATAGCTGTAGGGAATTTTTCGACAGGCTTCAATTATAGACAATATTTCATTATCTGATTGAACTTTTACTGCGCTTCAAATGTAAGAAGTAAAAAATAAGCTAAATAATTTTTACCTGGAAAAATGTAAAAGAAAATTTGGATTTTCTCCCTCGACCAGCAAACCGGATCAAGTTTAAAACAATTCGAGCAGGTCACACGATTCATCATTCCGATTCTGCGTTTGCAGCAATTTCTCCTGCGGGAAAACAAAGGAAACATCCCACGCAGAGACACACGAAAATTTCTTCAAAACGAGGAAAATGAATAAAGCCGAAAAGGACAAATTCGAACGCATAACGAAACTTTTGTTTTCCAATCCTCCGTATCCACCGCTCATGTTTTTCGTCATCATGTTACAACGGACACTCGAAAAAATTTGCGCGCGAGAAAATCCCGTCTTAGAGAAAATAAAATTTCTTCCGATCCCTCAACAGTTTCCACATTAAGATGAGTGCTGCTTATTTAGTTCGCAAAACATTTCCATATCAAATAGCGCCAAGGCCACGGATTATTGAAAAGCACCGTCATCACAATTTCCTAAGTCACTCCATTAAGTTCAACCAGTTTTTTTTTTTTTTTGCAAAAAAAAAATCAATGCACGAAGCTCCAATGCCACATATGCAGAAACGGCATCCGGTTATTACTTCCTTTTTTTGTTGTTGTTCTTCGAACAAGTCCACATTCACAAGTGTGAAAATAAGGCGGTCGAAGTAAAGGCAGAAATTACAGCATGATTTCACAACCGTGGGAACCCAGTTTCATCCCACGGATCACAGTGGCTGTCCAGTTTGTATCCAGAATATCTTCCTTTGCTCTTGCTCCACGCAGCCAGCAACTTGGGTGCAGATATAAGACAGGTTCACTGCAGCGTGCACCACAGCTGCAACAATCAATGTCAATTAATTTTAGCACACAGAAAAAATAGCGCTGTTACCATATGCCGATCTACTAAATATATACAACAGTGGTCAGACATGAAGAGACTTTTCGCGTGGGGCTGCTAATCATTTCTTCTCAAGTCTTAAAAATCGAATATATGAAGATTAAGCTGTTGAAGTCTTTAAAAATATTAAAATTCCATGTTAATCCGGAAAATGCGTCTGTCAGAATTTTTTTCCGAAATGATAAAATCTTTCTGAAAATCTTGATAGTGTTGAGCATTGTTTCAAACTCAGGTACTGTACTTACATAGGAATGGGTAAGTACTTTTTCAGCACTCCGTCTTCTCGGAATGTCACCCGAGAGTGCAAACATTAGCACAGTGGTTCTTAGTACAAGAAAAAATTTAAATTTGTGAAATAACGTTCTCCTACATTTTCTCAACAAGGAACGTAAAAGACTTCATAGGAATAACGAAACTAATCAACTCTAGCGAAGACACGTCTGAAAATGTACCATAACTTGAAATTAATTTCCTGTACACTTGAGGGGTTGCTCAGAAACCAAAAATTTCCCCCACAAGCGATGAAATACCCTAACTCACCGGAAATCGCGTGACTGAACTCCGACTGAATCTTCTGGGCATGCTCAAACATTTCTTTGGCAACTTTCGCGGATATCTTCTCTCCCAAACGCGTATCCTTCACTTCACGGATCTGCTTGATCGACTTGAATTTGATGAACAGCACAATCGCGGGCAGCCCACGGGTTTGCAATTGGCCGACGGACTGCAAGCTAACGTCCAACACGCAATGCAGGTTCTACACAAGAAAATCAAATTCGGAATGATGAACAACGGAGAAAAAAAAAATGAATAAAAACAACAAAACTAGCTTTTTTCCCCAACTTGAACATCCAAAGTTTCAAACAAACAGAAAATGTGAAGAATTGGGCTGGAAACGCAATGCTGCCAAGAAGTTTCATTGTTCACAAAAAAGCAGCTCGTAGGAATCTTCCTTCTAGATAAGGAATAAGATGGCCTGTTCTATTCACCAGCATTCCCTTGTTCGGTTTCACTTCTTCTGACGCATCAACATTAGATTTTGTTCAGTTAATGTAATGATTCCGGAATACCTGTACCTCCGAAACGTTGCTCAAGAAAACTTTTTTTTTTTCAACGCAACGAACAAATTCAATAGGTTTGATTTGAAACGGCATTTCCATTTTACTACGTCCCCGAACATTTGAAATTCATGCCAAAACATATTCAAGTTTTCTGCTTTCAGATTTCATTTGAGAGGAAAAAAAATTCACTTACTTAGATTATAATATTTTCTACGTTTTCATTCGAGCACCAGTAACTGAAAAATGGCTTTTTCTAATGCACACAAACCAGAGCTTTTCCAGGTTGATCATTAAACGGGAATTGGTCATAATGAAGGTCATCAAGGCCACGAAAAAGAGAATGGCTGGGGTATTCATAAAAAACGAAAAATAAATTTTTTTTTTACTAACCCGATCGCAAACAGAAGCAACTGCCTTCAGGGTGGTGCATTCAAAATGACTCCCGCGCCGTTTGTGATCGATGATCTCAGAATCCAGCTCCACCAAGGATCCTCGATGGTGAAGTCCGTTCGTAGACCGCTTGAAGCTGCCCATAAGAACATAGTCAAATAGTCTATGCTTAAGCCTGTTCCCGGGTTGGTCGTTTTGGCCAGATCAGAACTGCGGACTCTCTCTTTTTTTTTAATCAACACAACTTTCAGAACTCAGGTCAAACAGTCCATATCTATTGCGATGTGCAAGAAACGGTCCCGTTCTTCCAACGACAGTGATGATCATGTTGAAACTTTTATTCGATTTCTTTTCCAATGCCTTTCTAGATTATTCAAGAGCTTGTAAGTTTTTGAATTCAAAAAATCGAATCACGACAGAGATGGTTAAGAAAAAAGCGGGACATTTTCTTTCCTTCGGGATTGATTCCTCTTACGGTACAATTATGAAGGCAACTAAATGGAGAAAAACGCACTGAAATTCAATACAGGTACAGTATAGGGAATGGAGTAATTTATCGCTCCCGGCGAATTAATAATCTTTACCTTTTCCTCTCTCCAAAACGGCTGAACCAAATTAAAAAAAATTGCCCTATCGCTACAAAACATGCTTCACGCTAGATAACTTCTTTCAAAATTAAATTAAATGACAATTTTACCAAATAAGTAAGAAATTAAGTAAACAATGCGAGTCACCAATCGTTTCTGAACATACAATTTGGGTCTTCTACGTTTCCTTCCAAATCAGCAGTCTTAATTCTCAACTAGAAAACTTCAGCATACAACACAATTGATCATTAATCGGGCAATCATAAACTTCAGTCGTCATAATCTCGACTAATCGCTGACATTCGATGTAGAAATACGAATTTTTTTGAGTGTCAACTTAGCGGACTGAGCGACTATTGACCCGTTCCGGTTTAGGAGAGCGTCCCAGCGTAGCTTGGGTCTAGGCAGGACCCAAGGTATAGGTCGTATGTCGCTTTGCAGCGTTTTCGACGCCAGTTCTTTGGCTCCGTGCGACGAGCTAGAAGAGGACGACGACGACGACCGCAGAGTCACAGCTGCATTGGACGATGAGGAAGAAGAAGACGCATCTGCTCCAGTGGCGCCTCCAGACGCCCCAGACTTGTTCTTACGGCGGAAAAAGGATCTTCTGGCGTAGGCGAGTCCTCGACTTCGGGTTGACGATGATGAAGCTCCAGATGTTGTGGATGAAGTCAGCCCACCACCGAGTGCGTAGTGGAGCTGTGGGGCTTCCATGTCGAATTCGATGCCGATCCCTCGACGGATCAGGAGTTCTTCTTCAACCCTACATAAAACATCAANGCTCCAGATGTTGTGGATGAAGTCAGCCCACCACCGAGTGCGTAGTGGAGCTGTGGGGCTTCCATGTCGAATTCGATGCCGATCCCTCGACGGATCAGGAGTTCTTCTTCAACCCTACATAAAACATCAAGCAATATATAGTGAACTCCCTCTACAAAGAAATTCATGGGACTAGAAAAAAAATCGCTGCACAGAGAATTTCGTAGTTGAGGGACAACAACTAGTTGTTGGTGTTAAGGGTTCGTAGGGTTTTCGTAGTTTGGGACAACAACAAAAAAGCATTAAACAATTCAAAGAAAATAGTTTTAAACAAAATCGTCGTGGAGAGAATATTATTATTATTCTCATGACTGTATTTTAATGCTGCATTCTAATACCATTACTGTACTACAGTATAAATATTTCTTACTCGGGTATCACCAGAAAAATGGCGTTGGGTCCAATCGAAAATAAGACCTGTCGGCTGAATCCAACTAACGTTCAGCAGTTTCCCATATCAGGAACACGCGTATTTCCCAAGGAAACCTACTCTTATGAAAAAAAGTCTAATAAAAAACAAATCTAAGCTACAGTAATCTAAGCTCGCAACGCAGTATGATATTTAAATCAGGGCGTGGAAAAACATATAATCCACGTCCTTGAAGAGTCGGGTGCATTAACCCAGCTCCTCGAAACCCTCCAACAAGTTGAAGAACATCATCCGCCTTTATCCGTATCCTATTTCGCAGGAAACAATAGAGGCGTTGAAGTACAGTACTGTACACGAGTAAGTACGAAGGAGCACGACACGATAACTTAATTTATCGAAATCTTTTACCGTAAATAACTTCGCCGTTTTCGCACAAACAACAACTTCTGTACTGCTACTGCAAGTTCCAAAGCAAAACATAATCTGAATGCTGTGCTTAGAAGTATTTTATTTGACAGATGCCGTTTTCAAACATGGACCTCGCTATCACTCAATATTCAAAATGTTCCATTTCAAAATTAATAAAAAATAGTTCAGAACCTTCAGCAACGTTTCTGCTTATCAAAGCGTCAGTCATGGTTGCAATTTTAACAATCCTGGCCCATTCGCAAATTCCGTTCTTCACATTAATGGAATGCGAGAAAGCAAAGCGGAAGGCAGCATTACAATGATTTTTCAAATTTCGTTTGAAAAATACATTTTCATACGCATTTATTGACCAACTAGTGACTCCGCGTGACTCACTTTTCTTTCGAGGGTATCAGTCCACAGGAAACAGGATGGCCAGTGATGGGATCCACCAACCAGGCTCTCCACTGCCCCGGCACACCATTGAACATAGTATTGTCCACAAATAGGATGTCACCATGCCTGAAGGACAAGGGTCTATCGTGGGCTTCAGGGCCAGAAAGTGCGGACGACGACGACACCGATGAGCCTTCCACTATCCGGTCGAACAAAGCTCGGACATGGAAACTGTCTCCCGGCTCAGCTTGGGCTCGTTCAAATCCTGCAGAAAAAATCAAGCGCAATTGAAATAACAATGTCCAAAAATGACACTTCAAAGACGAATAAAAGATTTTTCAGAAATGCGGAAATGAGTACAGCTGTTCAATAAACTGGCTGCCCTAGCCTACATGACCAAGAAAATAGTTTTTCTTGTTCCACTCTATCGCCATTCCCATCCGAAGAAGAGTAAAGCACGATACAAATACACAAGTACTGTACATCAATGCAAGAAAATCTTTCATATGAAATTGAAGTTTAGCATCAGTTGAGAACCTTTTTAGCAGAGAAAATGTTCTCCCATATCTCAATGAATTGCAATTGCTTACAGACAAAAAACATAAAAAAATGTACATATGAAATTACGAGAATGAAACGATGCAATTTTTAGTATAGAGCTCACATGAAACCTTGCATCTATGCTCGCAAACTGTCCCACAATGTATACAGAGACTATCAGTTGGATGGCGTTCGTGCGGTCAAGGAGGAAATAAAAGTATAACACCAAGAGAAACTATTGAAAATCGAGAAAATCTTGGCTTTCAACTTCGCAAATCGTGCGTATTGTGAACTTAAGCTATGAATTCTCCATTAGTATTCAACTCTAGGAAAAAACTCTTTTCCCAATTGATCCACCGGAAAAACTGGGGCCAATTTCAAATTTGACGGCCTCTTTAATACCAAACGCGGAACAATAGGATAAAAGAATAAGAATAAATGCTTACTTGGAATGTCTCTCTGAGCCAAAATCGCCAGTTTTTCCCCGGGTCTGGCCAGCTCATACGCGGCTTGTTCAGCAGTTGCTTCCCGGAGGTCGACTCCATTATATTCCAGGAGGCGGTCACCATGCCTTCAAATTAGAACATTAAAAATCATAAAATACACGGATTTAAAGGGCGGATAGCCAATTTTTTCTCGTTAAATTCATCATTCCACGATAGTTTCCCCCAGACACGGAACTGAATTAAAAATGAAGGAACAGAACGAACCCAAGACCGGCTTTGGCAGCAGGCGAATCCGGATGAACGGAGTGAACGAAAATACCGGTTTTGTTTCCACCAACCAAACTTAATCCGAGGTTCGCAGACGGGGAATCTCTCTCCAGAAACAGTAACTTCGGCGCTGAGGCCTGGCTCGAGCTAATATCATTTCCACTGAAAAATAAATAAATCAATTTTTACATTCAACGATCATTCAATCATATTCCACTCCCCACCTTTACGCGAACTCAAAATAAATTTCAAAATAAATATCAATTTTCAAATCCCGCACAAAATAGAAAAATTTTGCTGGCGAATCTGCGACTCTCCGTTACGAGCTTTACAATTTTCCAGAAACTGAATTACTGTGCAATTTTCGAAGGATAATTACTCTAGAAACGGGGAATTGCGATATAAAAAGCAAACAAATGCGAATTGACGAAGCAGTTGTCAATTAAAATTAACCTCACAGACATCAATAAGACTACCATGTCACTTGAAACAAACCAATCGTCGAAAAAAGTTTACAGATGCTTCATATTCTTGCTTCGGTATTTCAAATCATAATTTTTCAATTTTATCAAGATCACGCTTTGCATCTATTAGAAAATATCCGCAGAACATATAAGTTTAAAGAGTTCGCGAGACATTCAAAATTAGAATAGGGCTCTATTTTGGAGCACTTCATGAACACAAAACAGAGCTTGATTCATTTCGTCAAAATTGGGCATAGTGTGCCTTATATTTGCGGAAAAAAAGGTAATTAAAATGCCAGTTCAACGCCTACTTGATTTCATCCTGCAAGCCATCACCACCAGTTAAACTCTGTCCACCAGACGACTGCTGCCGATGATGATGGTGTTGATGCAAAGTCGCAATGACTTCTTTAATGTCTCTTCTCGTGAGGGTGTTGCAACCAGAGCCAGCACTATCCATGTTCAATGGGCCACGCAACGTCGAATTCGTCGAAGTGGACGTTTCATCGCTGCCAACACCTGCATGGGGAAAAAAATCGAAAAAGGCGGTAAATACAATTACAGCATTGAAATCCCAGAGGAAGAAAGTTATTGTTTCAATTCAAACCCCCAGTTCTTTTTAGTGGTTTACGCTAATACGTGTACAGTACGTTCAATCACCGGGTAAAATCTTTAAATTCCCCTCTTTTTTTCTAAAGAACTCACCGGAAGTATGAGTCCAGTGTCTCGTTCCGCGCATCAAATCCCCGTTTCCTTCGGATACGCGCATCATATTTGAGCGAACATTTTTTGGAGAATTACAAGGCGTCGGAGATTCACTTCCGGCGTCCACGACCTGGGGCTGGACGTTGTCAAAGCTGCTGGTGGCAGGCGTATTTATATCGGATCCTTCGAATTCTGAAAAAGAAATGAACAATTCTTGAATTTAAACAACGGAAGGGCAATTTAAAAGATGCGGCAACCCTTCCGCGGCAAGAACAAGCAATTAAAATACTTTATATTTGCACGCTGATTTGAAGGACAGTGGTTACATATTCAGCATCAAGTTCAAAAAACAAGAACCATTGTTCCTTTCTGGTTATTGCGCACAGAACAGAATAGGGAACCGGTTCAGATTATCGAGTGGATCAACTCGAAACAAATCAAGCATTGTATACTTTAATAATACTGTATGGGTCTTAACATTGTTGTTTTCCTTGTTTCAAAGTCTTTTGCTGCCATTTCACGTTGGACAACTATTTCTTGAGTAATTCGTTCTTGAGTTCATCAAATGAATTCCATGCAGCTCCTGATTACTAAATCGAGTACTTGTGGGAGGTCTGGAACCACAATTAGCCGTTCCATATAATTTCAATTTTTTTCGGTTAACGATTTCTCAGAAAATGGAATTCACACTCATGCATAATTAAACTATCAATCGATGTCTCACTATATAATGGGAATGCACATTCGCAATCATTCGTGTGAACCTAAGCTTGACTCACCCAGAACATGGCCACCAGTCGAAAAAATGATACCAATTAAAAGAAGGGGCTTTTTGAAAGATATTAATTTTCGTCAAACGGAACTCACTGTCTGGATTAAACTGCACAAGCATTGAAATTGATTCTCCGCACTGATGAATGATGCTTGCCACTTGATCATAATTCGCCAATCGCATGTTGATTCCACAAACTTCCAACAGCTGGTCTCCAACCTTGACACGAAAAAATAATGCAATAAGCGATTGAAAACGAGGGAGAGAAATATTGAGATGATGAGCAAAGCGCGATTAACGCGACTAGAAGAATTTTCAGTAATCACCTGAAGTCCAGCACGTTCAGCCAACGAATTCTGCGACACGTGTGCCACGAACACTCCTCCAGATGCGCCGGAATTCAAATTGAATCCCAACGGCTGCAAGCTCTTCTCGATATGTACATTTCTCAATTCTCCCATCATTGGCCTTCAAAATAATTTAATTATGAAATGTATTCCAAATCTCACGCGAAATTATAGTGATTTTAATAATCCACCTCGGTCTCTGGGACTCCTTCTTCCTCGGAAAGGTTCCTCCGCCTTCAATCGAAGCTGCTATATTATTCCGCAAATACGGTGCTCCATATTCCTCCAGTAATTGCCTGGTGAAAATCGTGCGAAAATATGACGTTTCAATTATAAAAAATTGAAAATAAATCTGGCAATATACAATATCTCAACCCGTGCATCAGGATATCATGGAAAAAAGGAAAAACCGTCGGCATTTTCTCTTCGCTGAGTTCCAAAAAGTTACTATGCACATCGAAATTAAGTATTCCGCAACACATTAGCCATCCCAAATATCTTTTCATAAATCAGCCAGTGGTAATTTTGTTTGGCGGCTGCAACGGATGGGTCAATCATACCACTTTCACATTTTCTGGTCAACCGAATTTTTGCATAAATGACTTCTCATAGAAGGTTTTTGTTCGTTTCGTTAACCGAGGCGCTACTGCATTTGTACATGATCAGAATGAATGTTTTTCGATTGGCAATTTCGAAAACAGTAAAATCTCGTTTGAAACAACTCTCAGGGACCCGATAAAAATTTGTTGAATCGAGATTTATGGTTTTCAACATACAGTATTTTAGACTATAATTTTGTGGTAAATGGATAATGAATACCCATTCTAGAAAGGCCAGATAGAAAATTATTTCCAACATACTGTCAACTTGAAAGAAAGGCATATACAGTACTTTGAAATGGGCTAAGAATTTCCAAAATATATGTCATGCAGTGCATTTTTTTGAAAACTAATTTTTTCTACAGAAAGTTCTGCTTCTTTGATGGAAACGGAATGCTGCCCCAACTCAATTTTTCCTCTTCTCTGCCATTTATCAAATAATTACTATGGCCTACGCACAAAATCAGGGCCAACATTTTGTTATACTGCGATTACAGTGCTCCCTCAAATTATATTTTTCCAACACTGCGCCTACGGAGAAATCGCCTGGACCACAAGAAAAATTCGTCATAACAAGATTCGTTGTAACGGAAATTTTTGTACTACCTTTTGTGCCGTTCGCTGCCCCTCAGCTCAGTCCGCATCACTTGCATACAATGCTCAGATCCACGCTCGCTCTCCAAGTCTTCCAATTCCTGCTCACCCTCAATCCGGGACAGCTGGCGCCCCCGATGCGGATGCGGAAGAGTGTGTGCGTGATGGCGTCCCCCTGACGCAGGCACAACGCCTACCCCTGCTCCAACCGGCATGTACATGGCACCCGATGTCGCCACCGTCGACACTTGCGCATAGTCGTGCGAGTGACGATGCGTCAAGGGACCTCGTTGCACTTGCATTTGCTGATGCGACTGAATCTGAAGCTGCTGCTGCACTCCGTAGATCATGTGACCGCCGTTATCGAGTAACACTGGTGGGGGTGACGGTGGCGGAGGTGGAGGCGGCGGCGGAAGCCGAGGGGGCGGTGGAGCGTGATCGATTCTCGTGCCGTAAGGACTTTCGAGACGCACCAAAAGCCCGGTGATTTCTTTCCGATGCATCGAACCACCTGTACTCGGATAACTCAGCTCACGATATCCCTAAAATCCCAAGAAAAAATATTTCAAGAGTCAAGAACCTTAAAAATGATGTTCCAAATTTGACGACGAGGCTCCTATCAAAAACGTTTTAAGCTTTCTACATTTCGGGGTCGGGAAAATTTTCAAAGGTGGGATGATATACAAAAAAATTTTGATTTTGCCTTGAGCCATTCAAACAGATCATTTTTTTCCAGTGTTTGCACATGGTGACTACTTCGGAGTTCAAAAACCGCTAGGCTTTTGGAAGGACACTTTAAAAAATTATACAGATCTGTTCTCGCATTTTTCCAGGTTCAGATTTTTTAAAAACCTCCTACACGTTTACTAAATTTTGATTAACTTCTGCATGTGTGTCACTCACGATTTGAAAAACATTCTGTGCAACCCTACATCAACAGGATAACAACATTAAATTTACCAATGGGTCTGACTCAGCAGGATTTTTCAGAAAACTTTCAGAGAGACAATTTTTCAGGCTCGTTCTATGTCCTACCCTCAGCACAATTTTACATGCTCGTTTTATGTCTTTCTACCCTCACCCAAGGTTGACGAACAACATCTAGAGGTGACGAGTAACGAGCGGGCACTTCACAAAATCCTCTTCTCGTGCCAGCAGCAATTCCCGCAGTGGACGCGATCAAGGCTGACGTAGACGTCGATGCCGAAGCCGACGTTGACGATGATGCCGACGACAGCACCGAGTCTCCACTTCTGCATAACGTGGCTGTCGCTGGTAACATTCCAGACTTCGATCTACAGAAAAAAAAAGGTTCGGTACACATTTTTTTAAAAACAATATCCTGTGGAATTGAGCCCCCAAAAAAGGAAAAGAGATGCAGATGCGCTTCCGAGCAGAATAATTTGCGATTTCTGTCTGTTCAATTATCGGTCGATTTCTGGACATTATCACTTTAGACAGGCTGGATTTCACACATTAAATTTTGAATGCATTATCTACACCACGACGCGCAGACTACAACTTATGAGAAACCTTCAGGAATTCAAAAAATCTCACAACTTTGCCCTCAAAGTGATTTCAGGGCATGAAATTTTACTGGAGTAGCGCGGAACTTGAAATTCAACTGAAAAATACTTCATTTTTGAAAGATGAATATAGAAATCGACGTTTGACAAGAAGTACTACAGCATTTTTTCTCCGCAAGGAAGTTGCGTGTACCATCGGTTAAAACATTGAAAAATCTGACTGAAAGAAAACAGGCTCCACTACTTACGACACTTGAGCCATTGGATCCGAGTGGAACTGCTGGAATGGCACAGGGAAACTGGCGTGAGATTCCCCAGGACTCATATTTCCTTCGCTATCGCTCTGGCAGTATTTTCCACTGCCAGAACCCACGACGGCGTCTGACGACGTCCCTGTCGTAGCTCCACGACCTCCTACCCCGCTACACCCTTTCTTCTTGACGTAGTATTCCAATACCTAAATCAATCAGATGGAAGTAATAAAATTGACTTTCAATTGACCAGCTGATCTTGACGCAATAAAAAGAACCAGATTCGGAAATCGGAACAATAAAACCTTAGGATTACGTCTTAAAAAGGGTAAATAAAATAGAACTTCAGTTGTACTTGTTGGGGCATCCGATTAATCCCATCTAAATTTTGATCCATTTAGATGAAACAAAGCGGTATGCTAAGTTCAATTACAGCCTTTTTATTCCCTTATGATCAACTATCACCCGGCTAGCGATCTTTGATATTCAAGGTAATGTTGGTTCAACGACAACTTTTCAAAATCGTGTTGTACAGTATTATCCGGACAAAGAAAGCCAGTCATCACCCCAGATAATCGAAGTTTCACATCTGCCAGGGAACTAAAAATTTTTACATCGAGAAATAAAAAAATTATGTACAACCGAAAGCTGTTTAAGAATCATCCGAAAGGATTTTTTCTGCAAAACGTTACACGTAGTTCATTTCGTTAAATTATCCAGGAAGACGAAATAAAAATAAGAAAAAAATCAACTGGTCAATGATGAAATCATTAAAAACACACATTTGTCGTGATCCTTGCATGAAGCCGACATTCAAGCCTTTAAAAAACTCACGTCTTTCTCGACATTCCCAGAGCGAACCGAGAAGTCCAAGCTCGTATCCGATGGAGATAAAGCCGATAAACGGTCATGGTCACTTTCCAACGTGCCATTGGCATCTGGACGACCCGGACCGTTCCCAAATGGATATTCCACGTAATACGTAGGGGGTGTTTGATGCACCAGGCCAAACATCTGCTGCTGTGGGGACTGTTGCAGCATTTGTCCCATCTGCTGCTCCTGTTGAGCCTTCTTCTTATCCTGCTCGTCCATGACTCCTTGTCGTTGCACCGGGGTGGGATTTCTTTTAAATTCATTCCTTTCCACGTCGAATATCTGAAAAAAAGGAAAACACGGAAATTTAGCAAATACTTCGTTCAGCGGCTGATTATTTTTCGGCCTTGCATCAAAAGACGCCAAAATCAGTAAATACTGTACTGTGATGCACTGAAATTAGAAAATACGCACAAACATTTCTGTGAAAAATACTGTCCATCAACGGATGGGTATACTTACACGAGGGCTTTTAATTTTCACGAAGCTAATCATAATACGGGTGTCAAAAATTTTATAGTTCTGTAAGATATTTGTCAAGCATGATATTAATAATTTTATTTTGCCATGGAGCACACGAGGCACTTCTTCATCATTTCTTGAAATGGTATCTTACATTTCAAGGCGTTTTACACAACTTATAGCGTTATACATTCGATGGATTTTTGCAGATGAAGTGCATGGTTGCTTCTAATCAACGGGATTTTCAAAATGAAGATGAACCGAAAATTTCAATCGTGCGAGCACAAACGTTACGATTATGATTTATGCTGAAAATTCGACACGATTAAACCGATAACTGAATAAGGTTGAATCGATACACTCATTTGGTTTTGAATACTGCAAATGTACGTAATGAAAGACCTTGGCCATCGAGTAAATACAAGAAAGAATTTACAGTAGTTCACCCACCGAAGAAACGGGTTTTCTCCCACTGCGACTGGATCGGGAAGCGAACACGGTTCGATTATCAAATGCCGCGACACCCGGCTCGTGTAGAGGTGGCCCACGATACTTGGGCCATGTTCCACAGTGCGTCTCCCCGACAACGACGGACTTGCTCCGACCAGAATCGCCGTCACGACGCTTTGACTTTGGTTTCGATCCGTAACGCGATTTCGAACGACGCTGACTCGCGTACACCGGCTCTTGTCGTGCCTGACAGCCATTCTCCGTGCTATAATAAGGAAGAAAGCGCATCAAATGAGGGATTTTTTTTATGACAAAACATCAACCTGCAAGAATGTCCATGCTTTTTCTTGAACTCAGCAGGAACTTACGCATATGTGTTGAGCACCGAGTCAAGCTGGGCAATCGCATCCTCGCTGTCCCTCCGGAAAGGGGACGACCTCTCGCCCCTGGAGAACACAAGTTTTAAATGACACTCCTTTCAATAAATCTGCCTCATGCAGTCACTAATTTTTTTATTTATAAGCGGGAATCGAAATTTCCTACGCGAAACTATCTTCAACCCCTCTATTGTCAAGTGTTTAGAAAGGTACGACACATAAGACAGAGTAACAGAAGAGAGGAAATTAGCACCAAGCATATTTCAAATTTCTAAAGCGAAAATACTTTTATCTTTTTTCTCAATTTTTATGCAAGAAATCCACCGCTACATGCAGATTTTAAGATTCAAAAGCAAACATATGTTAATCTTTTCTAAAAAAAATTGTCATGCAAAGAATCCCGATGAACTTTCTCGTGGTTATAAATCTCCTTCAAAATGCCAAAATTTATTTTTTGTCAGAGGGCACTGCCTATGGGTCGTCAAAATCTCTGGACATAGCTTAAAAGTAGAAAACCGCGACGTGATGACACGAGATTACGATGATATTGAGAACACCGCTTCTTTATTTGCGTGTCATAATATAGTACAGTACAGTACGGTTAGGTAAACCCGTTTTTTCATCATTTAACATTTATTGCTCATTAAATCACTCATCACTTAGATGTATTAAACACAAAACGTAGAAACGGGGATCGTAGATTCGACTTTCGATTGAAGATATGACTCTTTTTCATGGACGAACCCTCGTACCACCTGATAAGTTCCCCACGCATCCAGAAACGCATGAATCTAAATAAAATAAAAATTAAAGAACGTAAAAACTTACATAGACGTTTCAATCCTTTGGAATGGATGACACACACTCTTCGGTCTCACAGCGTCACTGCCATCCACACACTCGCAACCGTGGCCCTGCGAGGCTAAGTAAGCATTATCGTAACCGGCTTTGTTCCTCCGAATGTCCTCTTCTTCATCGGACGCATTATAACGAGAGTTTCTGTTGCTGCGGTCATCGAGCTGATGCTGATGCTGATGACGACGACGACGACGATCATCGACTGATACAAATTTGGCTACTGTTATCAAGGCTCCAGGAATAGACTCGGTGGGATCTTTGTTTCCCGTCGGGTTTTGCGACCCGATCCACGTCGCCTCATCCAACATGCGTTCGATTTTCTCAAATTTCAATCCTCGGATTGATTTTCCGTTAATCTGGGGAAAAAACGGGAACATTAGTATTGCAGGAAATTTGACATCATATGAAACAACAGGAATCAATTGAATAACCGCCATAGCCTTTCCTAAAAATGTAAAGTGAGATTTCAAATTAAAAGGAAAAAAAATCCTCCAATTAGTATAAAACGACGGCATGTAGATCAAATAGAGGTCCACATCGTAATGTGGATACAGTACAGTCACATTGAAGTGAAAAAATTCGTAGACAGTAATAATACTCGAATTTAAGATTTCAAAATGGCCATGTCTAAAGTTGCCCATAACAGGAGTACTGCACAATATTTTTCAACTCGGATTTTTGCTTTGCATCGTTCAGGAAAGCATTTGAAGATCTGGCTGGAAATTTCATTTTTAGCATTCGAAAACTTCAACGTACCGAAAGCAATCGATCGCCAACACAGACTGAACCATCTTTCTCAGCAGCAGACCCGGCGGCAATCTTTGTCACGAACACACCGGTTTCCAAAGAGATGCCATGATCACCATACCGTACAACTTGCAACTGGAGCACGAGAGAAAAAAAAAAGAAGAAAACATCAGACTTGGAATCCCCATGGAATTTGGAATTCCTAAGAAACATACTCTTGCGTCGACGATAGTTCCTCGTTGACGAGAACTGCCTTTTCGTGGGGCTTTGTGATTCTGTTTCCGACGAACTTTGACTACGATGCGGGCGAGTCCAGACATACCTCGTTGTTGAGTCCTGAACGCACTGACGAGCCCCTTCGCACTGAATCCTCGGCAATCCACTCCGCCGATGGAAACCACACGATCATTGGGTCTTTAAAAACATATTACCATAAACATTATAATGAATATTCGCCTCATTCCGGGTGGTTCAATTTTCGTTCGTAATAATTTTCCGATTACTAAAACGCAGAACGAAATGAGGCCCTAGAGAACAGTCCAGCTACTGTATTTTCAAACGCTCTTCGACTGTTGTGTATAACAATGCATCAGAATAAACAAGGACAATTTTGAGAGTAATTGATGAATTGTTTTATAAATTATGTACTTGTTCGGTCGTTTTAACAAACAGTATGCGAAAAGCAGATTTTTCCGACAAAGTGTGGATATACCGGAACCTACCTCAGTCTGTCTTGAAAAACTGATCTCGAAGCCACCCTTATGATCTTCGGATGAGCCGGACAACTCTTGTCCTCACTTGTTTTGAAATCCAGCCCCAAGTCACCGACTTCCGGAATCTCACTCTGAAATGAGGATTCGTATAAGCACAAGACCACAAAAATAAATATTGCCACATATTTACTCATGTTCCACGCACCCCCCACGTAAAATATTCCGAATGTCGTCGTATGTGTTATCAAGTTTGATAAATAAACAGGAATTTCACGACTTTCGAAAAGCTACATTGCACGAATTGCGAATGTAAGAAGATTTACTTCTAACTTGAACAAAGATCTATTACACATTCCAAAATTTCGCTTCTGGACAATCTTAGCTTTTACTACTTAGAATCTTAAGATGCAGTTCAAAATGAATGACATGCAGATATCTGACGTCCCTAATATCCAAAGAAAATCACTCAGATGTTGTATTGTACGCGAACCTTGAGTTTTCGTAGAAATTTCTGAAGAGGGGCGTGAAGTACATAAATAAAAATGGTGCCATTCCGAAACTCACAGCACTGAAATCGACACTGACGGTTTCCCAGCGAACGAAATCTGCTTCGATCGCGGAATCCCTCGAGTACGACGGCGACGATACCAAACCCGAATAGCGGCCCTCACGTCCCACGTTGCTGGCCGACGACACGTCCTCCCGTCGGTCTTCGCCATCGTGGTCATTCTCATTGTCCGACGACGGACACGAGCTTGACGCCGTCGACGAAAACGATGTCGGTCGATTTTGTCGTTTGCGGCGTCGTCGGGCCAGCGCAACGTCCCCGCCAGCACTCAAGGGCTTTTCTTCCCCGGCCTCCTGCTCTTCTTCCTCGTGCACCGCAGTTGCAAAACATTTCGCGTGCGATTTAGATTGCAACTCCAGCAAATCGCTTAATCCTTTTGCCTGGTGATATAAAAATACTTCACATTTGAAGAGCTCAGTGCTAAGAGAAACGAAGAAAACAAGTTCATTCGTCGAAAATCCAATTTATACGCTTCCTGCACATAAAATACGAAATAAAAAATTAATTAGGGAAAAACAAGAGGCGGCCCAAATAAACTGATGTGCAGTGGACAATGTGTGAACAGTCAACTTTCCTGGTTTCAAAATCTTGGATGAAAATTTTGAAGACTTGCATCGAAATACAGGTGGAATGTCTCAACAACAAAATTCAGGAACCAGAAAAAATTTTCCTGCAGGGAGAATTTCGGTGTTCTTAAAACACCTAAGCGGATACTTCCTGGAACAAATTTCACACATCGTAGCAAATTACTGGACTTACTGTGCTAAAATGCGAACACTATCCTGAAGAAGGCAGGGCATAACTCAAGTACAGTATAATGACTAATGACCGCGTGCCTTCGCTTGGATTTTGTTTCATCCTCAGTGCTCACGGATAATCGGAAGCGGTATTGAAAAATTTTCGTTCAACACAATTACTACATAAAAACATTTAATACTGTATACATTTTATTGAAAAATATTCATAATATCGCGAACTTGCCTCATTAGTTTTCCGCTTGAGTTCGCGTTTCATATCGTTGACATCCCGCAATGCCTGAGCGAGATTGCTCTCAGCTCGGTCCTTCTCGCGACGCAGTTTGTCGCACAGCACACGAATGCTTTCACGTTCCTGAATGATCTTGTCTCGCTCACTGAAAGCCCAATCACGTCGTCGCAGAGACACCATGGCGTCTTCTTCAGAAACTTTCAGGTCCATCTTGAGCTTTTCAAGCTCGCGACGGAGGACTTTATTCTCGCCAGATAAAGAACTGGCTTGCTGCTGTTGATTCCCGTCATCCATGGAGCACTGGACTGATTCAACGTCACCACGAAGCGACTCGCGTCTCGTCATACCGTCCGCGTCCCTCAATTCCCTGAAAACATCGAAAAATTCCAAATCATCCGCAAAAAAAAAATGATGTGATACACACAGAGAAACGCAACGATGTTAAATCTAAGAAGGGCAAGTTTTCTAGGGCACGACTTTTCAACAGCTGGTACGCATACCGGAGTATTGCCTGGTACTTGACCATGTGGTATGCGGGATTTTTCCATGAGAAAAAATAACATAAATTCAAGCACAGAACCTCTACAATGACATGGTGAATATAATTTAATGAGCATTAACGGTTATAATGCATGAAAAATAAGATTGAATGAATGTCCGTAACCCAATTCAAGAAAAATAAGATTTATAGTTGCAATACAACTGCAAAAACCCCGTAGAGGGGGAACCTGAACACTCAGTGAACCCTTGAGTTAATAAGTCAACACTTGCTAATTTTGAAAACGGCACAACCTAAATAAAGGTTCAGAACCTTCGTCGTAGGGCAATACAAAAAAATATTTGCGACTGGCTCTTTGAAGCACGACCTCGCTTTTTAGGTTGTACTGTAATAAATAACGTACAATAACATTTAATTATTTAAATCAATAAGAGCCAAAAGTACCTAAAAGAGCCTAAACAAACAAGAACTGACGTAAAACAATCAAAATTGACTCAACACTATCGCTGAAAATTTTACCAACAAAAATTACAAAAATTCAGGTGACACATATGGATTAGCGGATGGATTTAATATAAAATTATGAAATCAAGTACATTGGGTGTCCAAAAAAAATCGTGGCTTCAGTATACGATTTTCAAAAATCGTGAATTGAAAAAAAAACTAACTTAGGTCGTCTCGTATTTGAGTTTACATCGATAACTGTACGCATGATTCACGGCACGGCGATAATGACAGAGGCTCCATCGATTCGTTTTACGACCTTCCTCCAAATCAAGTCTTGCAGAGGTTTACTAACCGAAGTCGGGAAGCAGAGCGGGCATTTGAAGCGTCCCAGCAGTCAGAGTTGAAAGACATACTGGTGATGGGCGAACCATCAGCAGCTGACATGTGACCGGAATCTGTGGCAAATTCATCACAGGCACTGAGTCCGCGGAATTTCATGTCCATAATTTTCTTCATAGCCCTGTCTCGATCCATCAGTGAGGATTCTAATTCTTGCTTCAAGCCCTCAGTCTGAAAGAAAAGGCACACTTTGCATCAGCATTTTGAACAATTACTCATCAAAATTTTGCGTCAAAATGTTTTTAGCTTCAATTCAGACGTTCTAGAGAGTCACCACAAACTCAAATGACGACAGGATTCAAATGTGAGACCAATTATATCGAATGTCGCGATATATCGCAGACACGTGATTTACAAAAATCTTCTCTCTAGAAAAACCGGGACCTTTTTGTGATTTTCATATCACATAAATCATCTAACTTTGATTGCACTTCTCGAAATACGATTCATGTAGGTTCAGTCGAATTAAATTTGCATTTTTTTTATCAGGTTAGCGATTCATGCGACACCTGTCCGACATTCCATAACCAAGATCGGATGCTGAAGTGAGAACTATTCACAGAACTGCCAGCAAAACAAATTTCAAAAAACTCACCAAGCTTGCGAAAACAAAGTCTTCAAGCAGCATTAAAAAAATGTTTCAAAGAAAAATATTTGAAACCAGACCTCAAAAATATCTGAATTTTCAGAGAAAGCTCATTCACCTCTCGTTTCACTGCCATGAGAGCTTTGGTGGAGTCTTCTAGTTTCGCTTGAAGAGAATCCATTTCTTTGTGCACCTGAGCTCTCTCTTCCAAAACCTGGGCGTAATCCTAAAATTTTCAAAGAAAGAGAGACCACGTTTTAATGTACGTCATCATTTTCTTTTTAAAATTCAACATACCCTTTGAGCTTGGTCGCGCTCCTCCTTCATTCTTTTGAGGTCATTGCAAGCTTTGGTCCTCATAATAATCGACTGATTAGCTTCCTTCAGCACTTCTTCTTTCTGCATGCGGATCTGAAAAATACGTGAAATACAGTACTTCGAATTTCGTGGCACGCAACATCAATCTTTATCATCAACAAATAAAATACAGAACGTCGAACAGATACAGTTTTAACTAAAACCAAAAGTGTAGAGCACTCGAGACATAGCATCGGGTGAAATTAAAATCAACCAATGAACTGACATTGCAAAATAAAAATAAAAACGCTTTTTCAAACCTTTTCAAGCTCTTCTTTCATCTTGTTCCGTTCCCTGAACGCGTTGTTCAGCTCTCGAATGGCCCTAGTACACTGCTGACTCAATTGATTTTTGGCCAAAACCGCTTGTTCGCAATCTTTGGTGGTTTCGTCCAGCTGAGTCTTCAAGCGACTGCTTTCTTCTTGGTAGAGTTCCAATTTCGCAATGGCGTCCGAATGCGTCGCCACTAGACTCAAATGCCGCTTCTTGAGCACATCGTGTTCCTCTCTCAAACCGTCATACTTGCGCAGAGCTCGTTGATACAACTGATTGATATTTTCCAGGCTGCCCGACGCATGTACCAGACCTAGGGCTAATTCAATCAAATTCTATTAGAAGCATTAAAAATAACAGATTCACGTTTGCGATAACTTCCCCACCTCCCAATTTCCTCTATCATTACATAGGTGTCGCCTAAAATTAAAGATCAGCTGAATCTGCGTTTGGTTTAGAGGCCATATTCGGGTTAGCGACACCGGCCCGAAATTTCAGCAAGAAAATTCGGGTGTTGACGTCCAACAATTAGAGAATATACGTCACAATATTTGTAAACGCGCCTAGTCTCGTTTTAAAAAAAATTTTAAAATCTTAAATTAAAAATTTGGTACAGTATTCGGATGAACGACAACTTCAGCTGGACACCGAGAAAAACAAACTGCAAAATCAAAACTCCAACATATTTCATGAAAATAAAAGAGAAGAAAAAAAAAGCTTAGAAAAAGTTACGATTCGGATAAAACGCAAAACTTACTAGGAAGCACAGAGAGTGAAGTATGGAAGGTTTCAAAAATGTGCACTTTCAAGAGACGTAAACTTACTACTGCCTTCCTTCATACTAGCAGAGCGACTGAGCTCAGCACCAGCGTCCTTCTGGTGTCGTCGCTGGGCCAGCTGCTGGTCAGTTGCGTCCTCGACACGGCCGTCGTCTTCCTGAGAGCGCTGACGAACCGCCACAAGCTCCTGTTCCAGCGAACGCTTTTCGGTCAAAACCTCGGAAAGCTGATGCCGCAAGTGATTGTTCGTTCCTTGAAGAGATTCAATTTTAGCTGAACTCTCGCTGATTTGCTGGCGATAGTAGTCGGTTTCTTTCTTCGCAGACTCCAATTTTCTGCAAAGATGAAAGAATTGCGGTTTCGTTGGGAACATGATCTTTCATTTTTTGTAATTTTCTAATTTTGAAAATGTACTCAAGTGCCTTCTAACGTTAATGCAAGTGTAATTTATTCACTACTGGTCACAAAGAAATTAGAGAAGACAAAAATAGCTTTCCTAAAGGTGCCAACATTTCCGCCCGATTAAATCTCCTGATTTCAACACATGAGGATGTCTTCAGTTTCCAGCCATGTTCCAGGCAACAGGCACAAATTCGTGCCATGAAAAGGCCAGTAATTTGCACTTCAAGACAATTTTCGTAATTGCAACATATGACTAAAAACATCACGAATTCATGATTTCCAAATGCGTGAATTACACGGTCCTACGTAACCATTAAACAAACAATAGGATTCCAGGATGAAATTAAAAAAAAAGAACCTGCGAAGAGTTGAGCTCTCAGTCATCCCGATACTTCTGTCATCCATCATCCCAGGATCATTTTCCATTTGTTGCTGAGTGGGTTGTTGTGGCTGAGCGACTGCTCCAGAACTAGATATTCCATTGTTCGGAGGAAATAAGCTTCTGGATTCCCAACCTATGCCCAAATTACCTACAGACAAAATCGTTCATGATCATCGCCTGCCTCGTAAAATACAGTAATAGCAAAACTTTGTCTTAGAATTCTAATTTAATTATGAACAAAAAATTGAGCCCGAAAGTACGATTTTTGAGATGGTTGTAGTGCATAATGCGCACTTTTTTCTAGAATCTTACCCAAGTCTCGCTCATGTATATTGACGGGATGCAAATGTGGTTGCGACATCTGCTTCCTGTGGTTTGGTACTGCCTTCTCTGTGGCCAATTTGTCCACTTGCTTCCGTAGCAAGTCTCGATCGTGAGTTACCAGCTGGAAACGAGGTTGAAGAAAATTCGTTCCATCAAAAACTCTCTCAGAAAAATGCGTGGTATGGCTCCGAATTTTCCGCTTGACAGGTTCATTCGCGATGGTGAAATAAATAAAATAATCTGACATGCATCCGAATCCAGTAGCACGATGTAAAATACAATAATCGAAACTCGTTGAAGAAAGTTTCCTCACCCTTAATTCTGCCTTGAGCAACGCAAGATTGCTTTGCTGCAAATCGTAGTCATGCAAAGAAATTGAGGTACCACTTCCGGAGCAGCTCGAGGAAAAAGCTGGAAAGAAACGTTGATAAGTGCGTTCAATTCAAAATTCAGTAATAAAAAGGAAGATTCCTCTTGTTCACTTCCAATTTACAACAAAAAGAGCATGGATAATTCTGTGGGTCTCCCCTTTATGACAGGCCAAATTAATGACAGATCCACTTTATGACGGCCTGCTGGCTTGAAAATTTACTCCTCTTCATGACAGCTGACTCGGTATACATATGTCAGCCAGAGACACCATCAGGACATCACAAAAAATTGAATGTGTGCAGCCTCCAAGATAGCATTTTCCATGTCAAAGGTTTAGGGGAATGAATTTTGAGGGTTTTTCTGAATTCAGTGAAATATACTGTAAGCAGTAACTGTTCAAATCGCTTTTTACTTTACCTTTTAACTGCACTGCACTGTAAAACTGTACAGTAACATTATTCTGAAAGTTTGTATTTGTATGTCTTCATATTCATGCATGTACAATATTCCAAATAAACTTTCTGAACGGTACTTATACTCATGAGCTTTATCTGCAATCTTTTAAACGTAGAGCTCGGGAAAATTAGCTTAAATTTTTTTTCAGGCCGAATTTCTTAGTTCAGAAATTATTGAAGTGAATCTGGGATGCAGACGTATATTGATTCCAGATGGAAAATTATTTCGTCTAATCTTTTCCTAAAATGACACATGGGGAAAAAATCGTAGAAATCAACATTTGTTTTCTTCGCATTATGCATGCGCCTTTGGTTTAAAAAAATATCCAATGAAAAAAAACCGAGAAATTCCGTCGACATGGTCGATGAGTGATGGTCCAGAAAGTGTGACAAAGGAATAAAACCAATTCAATCAGCCAATTTTGTATGTACTGTATTGTAAATCAGAAAAGCCAACATTGTTTTTTTCACAATTGTACCTAAATTAAAGGTAGGAAATTCGTCACCGAAATGCGAATTTTGCAGATACCATGATATGAGACTATGAAAAAAACAAGAGAAAAAATATTCTTCGTCCATTTTCATTAAACTGCTGCCTAGCCGCAAAAACTTGATCAACCACCACTCGTAAAACAAAAACTTCAATATAACTGTAAATTCGCTTCGCTGATAAATTGAAGACTTGGCGAAATCCAAGAGGGAAAAAATTAATATTTTGATGAGAAGCAACTCACCACGTCGATCTCGAAAGGTACAGTTGCATTCATAGTCATGTCCGCAGTCCCCACGAGGACCACAGTCCGACACGTCCGATTCGTTCGAATAGTTCGCTGTGCCTCTGAGTCGTACGTAAGCATGATTTCCTGGGCTCGGTTGATAACTTCTAGACGCGTAATGTGCGGCAGAAGTAGCTGACGTCGTCGGAGATCCGGCGTAACGCCCGGGATCACAGCTGCGGAAACAATTACACAAAAGATGAGAAAAATTTCTCAAGAACTTCCGCGTTCAAATAAAAAGAAAATACGTTTTAGAACGTCCGGGGATTTCCGGCATAAAACATCCCTCTTTGACCCATGCAATCGTCCAGATTCCAGAGAACAATATCGGGGAGACGGACATCCGCGAGAAGTAATCCGCTTAAAATTTTCATATCATTCGATTAATTTTTGCAAAACTTTTTGGAACGTTCACTCCAATGATGTATCCCAACGAACATTTTCCGACCGCTCGATCAATCCATGTTCAAAACCTGGAAATGTCGATTTTGGCCTTTTTTACATCATCAAACTGATGACTGGCATTTTGAACCCTTGAATACGACTTTCGAAAATTAATGATTCACGGACAATCGGACAACCCATATCGTTTGGGCTAATATTTCCGGATTTAAGCAAGATCGTGAAGTCTGAAGTTGCGCTTAGATGGAAGGATAATATCCTGTTGACCGGTTTTCTTTCTTCGATCACATCAAATACGATGATAACATTGAAAAAATTTTGGAAACATATTGAGGAAAACGAAAATTAGTCAGACATGCCTTTGGAATGTACTTTTTTCATCAATATTTTAAAACCTACTGTACACTGCGTGCGGAATAAAATGCCCCTCGTAAAGACAAATACTGTACTTTGCTGTAGATACGACAGTAGAACAGATTTTTTGAACTGACTACTTGAGATAAAAACAGTTTCGAGGTTCGTTTTTAGGTCATCGGCCTAAATGTTGAAGCATTTTTTTTAGGTTGAGTCGCTTGAGAACTCCATACCTGAAGTCATATTTTGTCGCAGCTACAGGTGGTCCAGAAACGGGTCTCACCGGACGCGGAAAACCACGCGGCTGAGTCAATCTGCTTTGCATTTCGTGCAATGGGGAAATCCCGCCTTCCTCCTCCAAGGAGTTTGGCTCGGTGTTAGGATTCGAACTTGATCCCAGGAACATAACGGTAAGCAAATGAGGGTAAGTTGTCTCCAAAGCCAGACACAACGTCTGGAATGCTTGGCCAGATTTCCAGGGTAAAAGTTCCAGCAACCTTTCCACCCTTCAAAAAAAGGAAGACAGTAATTATAACATATTAAGGAGTTCAAAGCCATTTTACGTACAATTCATGCGCGATATTAGAAAAAAATGGGGGGTTAAATATTTTAAGAGTGTTTCACAGAAATTATGCCAAAAATGGGAGACTTTTGCATCAGATTGAAGCTTATTCGTAAATTTTCAATTTAATTTTTAGTCACCAATCCAGCTTCGTGGAAATGTAATGTCGCCAGCAAATGATTGATGATCCCAAATTCTAGTTTACTTGCATTGAATTCATCATGTTAGAGACTATATTGCAATCAAAATCAATTTTCTCATTATTTATCAAAAGTCTTCAGAGGTTGATTCTTTCTCATAACCCGAACAACTATAGATTTAACCTTCAGTTGAGCTAAAATATACCATTTGCAGTTGATAAAATATTATTTCTCGAAAGTTGCTAAGAATTGTTCTGGTCAACCCTGTATTGACCTTTATTATTTAGGTGCAAAATCTGCGACTTCACTTCATATTTTCTCTACAATTTTACAACGCTTTCCGAGGTCCGATTTCGGTCGGGTTTGACAGGGTTCCAGAATGAGGCGACACCTACAAGGCGTCACTCGGGAGGTACATAAGAAAAGTACCAAAATAGGAAGACATTACTACTTTTTTTAGGCAAAGAAGTGAACGAACCTTGCACCGCGTGAAGGGGCAGATTTGATCTTTTCGATGTCATCATGCGATAAAATCTCGGTTCTCTCCAACAACGGGGCAATTCGTTCCACTTCCACGCACTCAACGAACTTTGCCCGGTGGAGCGCCAACAACTTCCGGTGCTTCTCATCCATAACTCACAGTCTCACTTCACAACCAAATAGTTAGCACTAGTCACAACGTACATCTGTAAAAATTATTTAATTCAATATTATTTCAAAGGCAGTTTGAGGTTCAAATCTGAATCCAAAGCCTCAAAATCATCACCCAGAATATAAAAAAAATGTCGGAGATAAGCTTCTACACAACAAAGAAAATAAAGCCTTACAGCACTTAAATCACATACATAATACAGTAAACTGAAACATGTCAAACATCAACGCATCAACAGCTCAGCATAAAAAAACCATGTCTGTACTTTTTCAACAGACACCTGAACACAGTTCAAGACAGACAAAAACAAACATCACGATTCATTATCGCCGCCCAATGGCAACGTATACACCACGTAAAACTTTCCACATCGCTTCCCGATCGACTTTGAAAATTGAAACTGCAAGTCCAACTTTGCACAAAGATCACAAAATGTAGGATAATCCTTTTTTCTTCTAGACTTAGCGAACCATCGCAATCCTTGACCAAAAGTATGCCGCAAAAACGCACCCAACTTGATGACAAAATTCGGGTGATTCTGCTTTAACAAGAAAAGCTTCTCAACCGTGGGACCACTTGCATTCTCGGCTACAAGAAATGAGTCGTTCCAAAATATATTCTTGTCTTCCTCAGGATACTGTTCAACGCTTGAGAAGTGCTCACGACACGGAAACATTTCCATCGGGTCGAAGTCATCAACCGAGGAAGATACCTCTTCCGGGAGACGATTTGTCTCTGCAAGATGAACATCTAAATGAGTTGCTGTGAATAAATCCAAAAAATTCCGCTTGTCACACAGTTCATGACACAGATGTCGCCTGCATTTTTCCTCTCGATTGCAACCCTGACTTGGGCAACTTCATACTGTACTAAAATTTTCATTTTTTGCCAATCTTCAAATTTCGTATAATTAACGCAAAGCTCACTGAGCTCAGACCATTTTCCATTCGAAAAAAAAAAGTTTTCCGATGTGGGATATTTCTCAACTGAGATTTTTCCATTACCGTAGTTAACCTGATGAAAAGCTTACAGCACGGAAACCTGTACTAAATGGAAAAGTGGCAGGTAACCTTTATTTCTTGACATTATTTTAATGAATGCTGAGACACTTGTTTTCAAGATCTAAATTTCAGCTTTTCTGATGGAAAGGTGATTTTGAAATCGATAGATTTGGTATTTTTCGGTTATATTAGGTCAATCAACATACGTGCAAGAACTATCTTGGTTAATCACACTTGAAAGAAAAGACAGTGCGTTTCAAGTTCGCGAGTGAATTTGCAAAATTCAATTTTTATGCGGGCAGGAAAAATACGCATGGTGCCAATAGTGTCTGTTAAACCGATAATATCTTATATTGCGTAAAAATGACACTTTTTGGAACCAATAATGTGTCAAAATACTGTACGAGGCAAATATGAAACACACTTACCAATTTCACACATCCGTTCATCGGAAGTCTCCTCCACGCAAGGTGGAACTTCCACGACAGGAAGAAGTCGAATATCACGTTCTTCGGTTGCTTCGCATCGCAGAACTTCATTCTCTTCTGGTACACGGGTATCATCACTGAACAAATTTCCGAGATCTGTATCTGACGGAGTAAAAGCTCCTTTGAAGACTTCATTACTTCTCTGTGCGCTTGACTCACACGAAGAAACTGGGAGTAACTCTTCTCTAACGTGATTCCGGACGTCTTTGGGACATTTTCCTTCATTTGCTTCATCTCCCCCTACTTCTCTGTAAGAAATCATAATTTTTTCGCGTGTGTCTTGGATTAAAGAAAAAAGTAAACTCACGTTAATTCTTCGATGAACGGCGTTTGAAGGCTGTCCAACCAGTGGTGGATTCTATTCTTAACGCTCAGTGATCCAAGTTTTTTCACACTCAGAATCGATAATTTCCGCTTCCCGGACTCATCACTCATTTCAATCACATTCTTTCGCGATGAAATTCAATTCTGAGCATGGAAACTAAGTCGATTTGCAAAATATTCGATGATTTTCGGGAAGAACCAAATACAGTGAGGCAAGGTTCAACAAAAAACACGCCAGAAAGCAATCGTAGATAAATCTATAAAACAGGGCATTTTCTCAAAACTTATGCGAATGGATCAAACGGCGCAAACGCAGTGACGAAACGATCACGTTTCTCGGTTTCTTCTTCTACACTTTCGGTACACTTCCGCCAATCTAGTCGATCCTGAACATCCAATATATCAGCCAGAACACCATTCATGAGCATCAGGATGTGACTGTCATCTACCCCACGTTCGAATGGCGGTAGTTTACCAAAAACTCGCCGTCCATCAGGCAGTTCGATGAACAAATAGAAGGAACCATCACCAATGATTTGCTTCAAGTCTGCGAACTTGGACAACACTTTGAAATTGCTCACGCCAGAGTCTTGTATCCGCGTGATGATTTCTTCACAGTTGGCATCTTTGTTATCTGAGAATAAAAACCACATTCAATTTCATACATGATACTCGTATCCACTAGATGACTCGAATACCACATTCTATTTTTTTCCAGATGCAACTTCACTCCATTGGCGTGTAAGTGCAAAAACTTCCAACAGAAATATTACTTTCGTCTCCTCGAAATCGAATTAAGCCGGACAACAGTTTTAGACTTCAGAAACGCGCTTCATAATCTTTCTCGCGAACCTACGAAGTTATGAGGATATGTACTACTATCTCCTTTACACCAATTTGAAAATAAAGTTATTTGGCGCAATGCGGCAATTGAGAGACAAATTGATAACTAACCGAGTGGAATAGGCACAGCGTGCAGCTGTGAATGGTTGGACTTGTAATTCCTTTCAAAGAACACGCATGACATGTTGATAGATGCGAAATATTTCAGCAGAGCGACTTTCATGGTTTCCACCTCCTCAATCAGATTTTCGTTTTCTCCTCTCACGTACAAAGCTCGAAAATGTTCAATGGGAAGAATGATGACGTGGCCTGGAACTAAACCGCCTTTGGCCAAAGCCAAATAAATATTTTCGCCCACTGTGATGACTAGATGCTTGGCAACTTCTGGACTGGAGAGGCAAAACCAACATGGGGTTTGTACATGTCTCTTCACCGGCGTGCTCGAATCGGAATCGTTCAATCTCTTGTTATCGCTTTTTCGACCTTTGCGGTTTATACTACTGCCATCTCTCCCTCCGAAATCGTAGAAATATTGCTTCGAAACTTCGGCTTTCGATTCTCGCATTGCGAGATTTCCCCAGGAATACTTCTCGTTTAGAAAGGGATTTTCAGTGACGTCGAGAGGTTGGACTCGAAGCGTTTTGGGGTCACATGAGATCATAGGAACTATGTTGAACGCGTATAGCCATTTTTCGGAACTGGCGCAAGTGGCAAGTCCGAAAAACCGGGATACGTTCGTCTCAGTTTCGGCCAAAATTCGGTGGTTCCTATACGGAAGGCGCTCGAAGAAGATGTTCTGCAAGGCGGCGAAGTGGTATCGCGGTTTCAAGGCACGAGCAACGCAACTCACAACCCTTGAGCACAACTGGAAAAATATATATAATTCAGTTTTCCTCAAGAATTAGCAGGCATTCGTACAGCTCACCTGGGAATCCAAACGGTTCATTTTATCCGGATCGGAGGCAAATTCCATAACATTCTCGGGCCAATGACAGGTGAGAAGAATGTCTATTCCTCGCTCTGTTTCAAGAACGCTGCCAATAAAGGCTTTCACCTCAGACTCATTCGCAACACGTCCACAGTACGCTATCTTCAGGCCACCACCAGTTTTGTACACGCCCATGCTACCCAGGTTGATCAAGTTGGCGCAAATTTCCTCGCCCGACGATCCGCTCTAAAATTAAATCCCTTGTGAATCGTGAAAATAAACATGGGTAGGCATCACTCACATTGAATTCCTCAGACGGGGAAAGAACGTAGGTCGACAATGGAAAACTGTGTATTCCCGAGCGTAGAGCGCGAAGATCAGCCCCAGGCGATGCAGAACCGAAAAATCGTCCTACGCACACAAGCATGTCGAACGGCCCAGCCTTTTTGTTCACCGTGTTTACACGCTTTAGTAACTTGTCGTAATTGCCTCCCACATCACCAGCAATTAATATTCTCAACGTTTTGGAATCCATTTTTCTCAAGTAGGCAATTCTACAAAGAATACAGCAACCTATTACATTTCCGTGATGAAAAACTGCATGTCAAATAACAACCTCCCTTTCGGAAGGACACTTCCCGACAATATTTTGTATAACCACTACTCGAACAGCACTCAACGCGTACATTACCCGCACTGACGAACGATCTCTGCGATGTACGATTGAGCAAACCCAGACAGCAAACCAGGAACGATGCAACAACAGCTTTCATGACTTTAATATCTAGATGTCAGTCCCATCCCGAATCTGCAATGAGCTTGCGTTTTATGAAATCTTCGCAGAAGTAATAGTCATTCATCATGAATGTTTTAGAAGAAGCATGAATGATGACAAGACAATAAAAACCAAATACTCCAAAAATATCAATATACAGTAGGTCTCTTACCAATGCACAGCCCAGCATTGCCACATTTGCCTTATTATTGTATCCTTAGTTCCACCTATGCTACACAATCCATTAGAGAAACCAGCAGATCAGGCGGTCCCAAGAAAATTAACGTTTCATCACATACTCGAGACATTCCGTATGATCGTTTGATGAAAATGGCGATAAGAGTTCTTGGATAATTACAAAATAATGTTTGGCACAATACAATTTTTTTTTTATCCCATCGTCATTCTCCCGGCATCAGAAGATCTGGGAGATGAGCATGATTCTGACGGCTTCTCAAATCACCGATGCCTTTGCTTCAATTAAACTTACAGCATGAAGGGTATTCGAATTAGGGGATTGCGCTATCAGTGTTATTCAACCTGTGGTCTGCGGACCAGCACAGCAGGTCCACAGACATTTCTTGCTGGTCTGCAAGAAATTTTATTCAGCATAAAAATAACCACGAAGTCTATATTATCTTCATCTGAATAAATTCAGAAAGACAATGACAGCTGAAAGTATCTGATGAAAAATCAAAGTTGGCTTTCCTCCTAATGGCACTTTGGACAATTTTCACCTGCTGAAATAAATTATTTTAATTTTTCATTCTGAAAAATCTGATTTCTTCAAGCTCAACTCTCTAATTTTTTGAAGATATTCCACTAAAGCTGCTTCATTGGTTCTTAGCTTGATTTCTGCAAATGAGCAGAAACTTTGTAAATACTGTACCAACCAGGAAGTCTTTCAAACAGAAAAATTAATGGTTTGCGAACATTTTTTGAAAATTTACCAGTCCACCAAAAATGTTTTGGGAATTTGCCAGGCTGCAAACAATTTTATGTAAATTTTCTCTAACCTTTTTGGTGCCCAAAAAGGTTCGGGAACACTGCTCTATAGACTATACCATAAGTTGATGATATGGTCAGACTAGTACAGTATATTGTACTTTTATGATGTAAACGCACGAATTTCGGGTTTAAGCCACATGTATGCTACAGTGGAAATGCGTTAATTCAAATCCCTCAAGAAAAACGCCTCAAGGTGAAAATGTGTTTGCTGCAATTATGGCCAATTGAGCTCCACACAGGTCTCAAAAGCGGACGAAAAATTTAAGCGCAATCTTGACGTATCTGTTTGTTGTTCACACAACAGAACAGGTCGCGGAGCAATTCTCTTAAAACTTATAATCATTGCGTCCTATTATAGAGGAGAAAAGTGGCATCACAGTTTCAAGCCTCTCGTTATGCCTCTGGTCCACGCGATGCAACGATAAACATAGCGAATCTAAATCCCAGTTCACATCAGTGATTCAACCGCGGAAGTCAATATATTAACACTTTCCGGCGATAAATCAGATGAATTCGCCCTGATTTCCACGCCATGACTTGACGACGAACGGAAGCGGTCAAGAGGCTGCTGTACTCGCGCAAATGCCACGTTCTCACGCTGCTTTCAAGCTTTTTCTCGGCGCTGCTCGAAGAGCCTTACATGCAAGGATTATACAGTACGTAGTGATCGAACGCTCAAGACACGCGACGTTTGTAAAGTACACCGTTGAACTGAATTTTTAAAATTTCGCGGTACTATACTTATTCGTTCACTGTACTGACTGAAATTAAATTTTCAGCGCGAGTTATATATACAGATAGCGCGTTCTTTCGCTCAGTTGCTAAACCGGCGAATCATCACCAATAACTTGGAGGCGCGAGCACTGCGAACTTTACATGCTGAATACCCTACTATACTGTACAAATATACAGTATCACAAAAAGGATGAATATGTTGTTGCTTTCTCAAACTTTTATTTTCAGATACGAACTGCTGTACCTTCACCGGATAGAATGGTCACAATACCCTCGTCGTCCGCACCAGCAGTGCTACGTAGTTGTGTTTCATTTTTTCTCGTGATTACTTTCGTATCGCTGCATCCACCGGTGACGTCCAGTTTAACACATTCTTCGAGAGAAAAAGTGTCGAAAAAGCACGATATCGTTGCAAGGATCCACGAAGTTGTAGAGATCCGACCTAAAAGGTTTTCGCGTTCTGATACTGGGACCTCATCGTCGTCGGTGACGACTCTCATCCCTGCTTCGTCGTCTCAGAGATATCAACCGCAGCATCCATGTGTCAGAACTTCGGAGTACAGTTTGCTAGCGCCAATGTTTTATGCCAAAGAGCTGCAGTGGGGGAAGGATCCCTGTAACGGCTCTTACGATTTTGAAAGCTACTTCGAATCTGGATTTCCCGGTATAGATGTTCAAACGATATTCATAAACTTTTCCTAATTAACTAGCAAAACATTCACGATTTTTCGAACAGCTAAAATTGTCCGTGAAGAAGAATACACGCTTCCGAACTCAGCCTGGGATGCTGTTCAACAGCATGATTCAGCAGCAGTGTACAAAGCGTCTCATTCCCCCGAAGCTCACGGGAAAGAAGGATCAATACAGGATTACCTGGCGAAATCTGCTGCTTTAGTCTCTCAACTTCTGGCTCCACTTGCATCCAACAGCCAGACGCATGAAGCCGCAAAATCCGAAGCTGCCCTCGAATTCCAGAAAGCCCAGTTTCATTTGAGAAAGGCTATCAAAATAGCAAAGCAAAACAGACGAGAAAAAGACGAACGTGTTGATTCAAAGAATGGCGGACAAGACGAAGTTGCACAGAGCAAGAAACAAAAACGGAGCTGCGATATGAAATCATTCATCAGGAATCTGATAGAGAAGTCGAATCAAAATCGTCCATCAGATGGTTGAAAAGCGAATTCTTAAATTCCACTTATATTCGGCGTTTGAAATTAAAGAATTTCAAGTGGCGATAACTTTTATTGATTTGAAATTTTGTCAGCAGTATGAAGTCTTCATGCTCGAATACATCGCAAAATATGCCTGACATGATGGTTCAATATTTTGGTAAAGCAAATTGGGAAAAATTGTCGAATATAATTATAACGCGTTCTATAAAAGTTCATATTTACACTTGAATATGACGTGCAAAAGTCTTTTGTGTCAAATTTTGAAAAAGTGTGTGGTACTCGACTATATGCAAGTGCGATTATTTATAAGCAGATGTTATTGTTGCAGCCGGAGATACCACTGGTCTTCACTGCCTTTTAATAATAGTCCTCCTGCACCAGTTATTATGGGGTGACAGGTCATGATGCTACATCAATTAACCTGTCATATTGGCCAATTTAATACTGAGAAGGAAAAATCCCTGAAATGTCGAGATCTCTTTGTGAGAAAAGGACTATATCACATGTACACATATATAGTCAACACAACTTTAAAGAAGGCAGTTTGAATAGAAAGCCTTGTTTTTCTCAGCATCAGAATTATACAAAAATGCTGGATTGAAATTTTCCAAAATTCCGGTCAACCGAAAAGGGTAAAAATAAAATAATGTTTGCACAATATAAGTTATGGAAAATTTTTGCGTAAGCAACAATCAAATGAATATACTCCATGCCAATTAAATACTCGTTTTTATTCACAGGTTCTATACACGCTATGAAACTGTATCATAGAAGGCTGAAAATACAAAAAATATTAATCGTGATCCAAGCTTGAGGATTATGAGGAATTTTTAAAATCATTTTTATACCCAAGAAATTCTCTGGAAAGTCAGCAGGTGTCACCTGCTGACTGGATCACCAACCAGTTTCTTTTCAGTTCTATCACAAAAAAGCATAGCAAAAGAACAGCTGAGGTGTACTTCTGTTTCTTTGCAAATTATGAATGAATGAATGAATGAACAGAACACTTCATTTGTCGCTTTTCAGCGTCCACAAGGCACAACCAAGACTTTGGCATCCAAACCCCCTCCCCATCCAACTCAACTCCCCCCAAAGACATTCTATCACTTCAAAGCAGGAAACAAAGCACAAATCTATGACAAAAACAAATCGCAGATTAAAACTGTATTTTGCTTGCCCATTATCATGAGTGAAAAATATACTTTTAGTAATTTGAATGTAGCAATATTAATGTGTTTTAGCTACATCATTGCTGGAATATTTTGTGTCTCTGCTGTATTAATACAATAATGAATTAAATGTTGTACTGTATACTTAAACAGAACAGGAAATTATCCAACAGCTTAATTTCCTTCAAAGTATCCAAGATTTGCAAAACTTGACCATCATATAGACTTCACCACATGTACAAGGTAATACAGGTGGTACCTTGCAATTTGAGCTCCCACAATTCAACCATCCCACAATTTGATGGTTGCATTTGCAGGGAGGTTGACTTGCAATTTGACCCTTGCCCTGCAATTTGACCTGCTTTGGCCATTTTTTTGCGTTTTGGTACTGATTTTTTGTAAATTTACCAAAGTGTCTTGCAATTTGACTACTTTGCAATTCAACCAACCCTAGTTTGGCAATGGATTAGTGTCAAATTGCAAGGTTCCATCTGTATGTTATGAGGCAATATCTATGCTTTAATTAAAAACAAATATTTGTCAGGTGTGGGAAATGACAAAAAATGGTTTCTCCAATCTCACAAAAACTCAAATTTTTAAAGAAATTTATCTCAATAAGACGCTGGACTGAGGAAAAAATGAAGTAATGCCTCAAATTACAATTACACTTCCTGACTCGAATAATTACTATAAACTGACAATAAAGTGCATAACATATAAGTGAAAAATTACAGCATGCTTGACAGTCATCCGCAAACTGCTTGCGGGTGGTTTGCATAAATGCTCATGAAAATTCAAATTAGCTCATCTGTCAGGTGTGTCCTCTCTCTATATACAGTATATACAAAGAGAAAACAAAATTTAAATCGGGCATTGGAACAAATCAACTTCATTATTTGATGACCTCTGCATAAACAAAACATTTTAGTCAGCAGCAGGAACATAAAAAAAAGGTGCAGAAAAACAAAAGAAAAACAATGACAGCAGACTTTTGCACAACGCTTCCTCATACAGTATACTGTAGCTTCCAACCGCTCAAAAGCTGCAGCCATGCAGTGCCCATCCCATGACAGCCCATGACGAATGGCCATAACACGGCGGTACAAGTACGGGTTTGTACAGTACCTTTATCGTGGGATTAGTACTAAAGTTTCCGTGGTATTGGACTGCCAATTGAAGGATAAAATTAGAGTTGAACAGTTATTGCTCGCTTCCTATAGAAAAAATTCAGCTTTCGTTTCATTGTGATTTCGTCGCAATGAAATTATTACTTGAAAGCAGAGGAAGTGAATAACTTTTTTGGGTACGGGTATTCTAAAGTTTTCGTGCGTTTATGATGTCAATAACTTTTTTCCTGGGATGCATGTTTTCTTCGTTTTCTGCAGAAGATTCTTGCCAGTCTGCAAGAAATTTTTCCAGGCTAATGAATTTTTCAAACATAGCAATGAACAATACTACCGCTAGTAACTTTATCTCAAATTTTGGAAAGTCAATGACAGTTAAAAATATCTCACGAAAAAGTTATCTTGGCTTTTCTCCCATAATACTTCCGACAAAATTTTAACGGATTTAATATATTATTTTAATTTTTGAGTCTGAAAAACCTTTTTTCAAGCCCACCTTTCCATTTTTTAAGACATTCCACTGTAGCTGCTTCATTGGATCTTGCCTTAATTTTTACACAGAAAATGGTGGAAGCTTTTTGGATACCAGCCATTTAAGCTGTCTTTCAAGCAAAACTTTTCTGAGCATGCACAAATTTTAAGAAAATTTGCTGGTCCTCAGAAAACCTTTCCTGGTCCCCAGAAAATTGTTTGGAAATTTGACAGTCCAAAAAATTTTTAATGGAAATTTGCCAGTCTGTGGGACCAAAAAAGTTGGGAACACTGTACTATACTATACTAAAATACCATTCTTAAACCTTCTGTGGCAAATTCTGGATACTTTTTCAAAATGTTGTGCCCATAAGTGCTGAAACTTTAAAAAATCATATTTCTGAAGATCTAAACCAAGGCTAAAGTTGAGAAAAAATTCAATACTTTTTTTAATCCAGCAGATAATTTTTGCCAGAAAAAAATTCCTCAGTGGGTGGCATGTTTTCCTGCATTCCTAGCATAGAATTAATCCTTGAACAGTGGAGGGTTCCTGGTCATCCTGGAGCAATGTTGGGATTTTGGGGGGGGGGGGGGCAGCACATTTGGCCAAAGGTCACTGAAATAATGCACCCAGGTTGGGAAGGCATAAGTTGGGAAAAATTTGGTAAGGGTGTATCCATTTGCATTCTAAAATAATGCTAATCCTATGCAAGGAATCCCTGAAAAAAGCCACCCAATGAGGCATTTTTTGCATTTTTGATGCAATTTTTCTGCAAGATTATAAAAAAATTAGACTTAATCCAGACTTAAGCCTTGCTGCAAAGACAAAATTTTTTAAATGGTCAGTGCTCATGGGCACAACATTTTGCACAAATATCTTGACTTTACTGCACTGGAAATGTCTCAAGATAATAGGATATTCTCTAACAACTTTTTTTCCAACTTAGGTCTTCCTATTCCAGGAGCATTTCAGTGGCCTTTATTCAAACTGAAATGCTCCTCAATCCCCCCCAGAAAAATCCCAACTCTGCTGTGGGATGGAATGGAACCCTCAGTCATCCTACGGTTACATTAAAATAAAATTTATTGAAGCAAAGTTATGATGATATTTAGGATACAATCCCATCTTCAGTTTAAAAAAAAACTCAAAATTTCGCTTTTCATTCCCAAAATGAAATTATTTTAGGTAAATTTACCAATTTTTGGTAAATTTAAAAAACATCAGTACCAAATTGCAAAAACATGGCCAAAGCAGATAAAATTGCAGGGCAAGGGTCAAATTGCAAGTCAACCTCCCTGCAAATGCAACCATCAAATTGTGGGATGGTTGAATTGTGGGAGCTCAAATTGCAAGGTACCACCTGTATCACCTTGTACATGTGCTGGTGAAGTCTATATGATGGCCAAGTTTTGCAAATCTTGGATACTTTGAAGGAAATTAAGCTGTTGGATAATTTCCTGTTCTGTTCAAGTATACAGTACAACATTTCATTCATTATTGCATTACTACGGCAGAGACACATAATATTCCAGCAATGATATAGCTAAAACACATTAACATTGCTACATTCAAGTTCCTCAAAGTCTACTGAAACTTTAGCACCACTCCTCTCTGTAAGGTAACAGTACACTTCGACGTCACTCCAGATGGAGAAGGAGGAGCATACGCAGCAGTGAGATCAAAGCGGCGGCGGCGGCGGCGGCGGTGGCGGCAAAGGTTAAACGATCTCATGCACGTCGCCCGGGGACGTCTTTGAAATAAATATAAGAAAAAGAAAGAACGAAACAAAAAAAAAGCCGAGATATTGCGAGAGGATGAACCCCATGGGATGAGCAGCGCGTCTCCTTTTCAACCTGACGCGCTCCAAGAGACCTCCCGCACTTTTGCCAAAGGAGCGCGTTGTTGTGAAATGAGAGCACTTAATTGGATTAATGACCCACGCGAAGCGAAGGCAAACGATCGCCCGTGAAAAATCGGCCACAAAATGACCGTGACCCGTGATGGTAAGGTCATTCGCGGGGATGGTCGCGAGGAAAAACTGCTGATGTGATGAACCTGAATCCCCATTTAAATGCCCTTTAATTGAGGTTCCACTATTATTTGTGAAACACTCATGATACACTTGGAACTGATACCAACTTTATAATAGAAAGAAAATCCAATTTTGCTTTAACAAAATTTTCTATTATAAAAATCATCAATTACAACACATTTTTCATGATACAGGTGGTACCTTGCAATTCAACCTGCCACAATTCAACCATCTGTACCCGAACTGGTACGAAAGGCGCGGAATTCGAAATGAAACATTGCAATCAGGCGTGGGGTTCACCTGGGGATCTTGTTTTCAAGATCCCAAAGAAAAAAGATAAAGTGTATTTCATTTTTAACCCCAAAAATAAGAATAATCACACAAATTTGATAACACACAAATTTGACTGACTTTGACAAGATCTCGCGTTAGACTGACTGTGATCTAATTAAAATGGCGGCGTCAATCTTTTGCAGGTTGAACATTCTGGAACATTCCTGAAAATAATCAAACTTTGTATTACAGGTGTTTGATGTACCCGCATGTGGAGAGCGGTACAACAACGTGCCAAATTATTCCGCCACACCATCATGCGATTCAATGGTCAAATTGGCAGGGTAGTTAACTTGCAATTTGACCTCTGCCCCACAATTTGACCTACATTGGCCAATTTCTTTTGCCTTTTTGTGCAGATATTTCTCAATTTTACAAAGTGTCTTGCAATTTGACTGCTTCACCATTCAACCCTACTCCAACAATGAATCAGGGTCAATAAATTGCAAGATATCATCTGTGCAGATGGACTTCTCTACAACAAAACTCATAGAACCAAAAAACAAAAACAAATTATAATAGAGAGAAATTATTCATACAGAAACAGTATAACATGGGGAGAAATCCCAAGGGGACTGAATGCAAATTATTTATACAGATAAATTTGTTGTAGACAGGATTGTTGTACAGAGAGTCTATACATGTAACACAATTTTCAAAATGGCAGAATCTTC